TGATAATTTATAATAATAATTTATTGACTTATATTGCACAATTATCAATATAAAAGTTTTCAATCACCCATTACAATTAAATGTTAAAAAATTCAACTCTACATAGATAGCAAAAACTAAATATAAAAATGTTCACTAAGAAGATGCAGAAATACAAAAATTACATACAAAGAGTTAAAAAGCTTTTGCAGGTAAAAGGTCTTAATGGCTTTCTTTAACTTGCTCTAAAATTGGATATTTAAGTCACTGGATATTTAAGTCTAAGTCAAGCCATGAAATAAAGGGATATGTTATTTATCTCATAAGGGGAAGTTTAAAGGCCCACATTTTGAATAGCAACCTTTCGAAATCGAGACGCCATATTAAACCCTGAAAAAGTTGTTTTGCTATAATTCTTTTTTTAAAGAATAATATGTTCCTCTTTGATTGATTAAGGCGATGTTTTTGTAACTGTCATTTTGGTTTTTCACTCCAGAGTAAGTTTCAAGTTAAAGAGAAGGGTTTGTTCAAACGTCCGTACCAATGATCTTGCAATTTATCCCCAAAAATCAGCCTATTTTTTATTGCACTCTTCCTTTTTATTCTTCTTCAAGGTAAATTATGTAAAATTTGGCCACAAATGGTCTAGCAATGCCCAAGTTTTATTTTCCTTTTCTTTTTAAATTTCTTCAAGGTAAATTATGTAAAATTGGCCACAAATGATCTTGCCTTAGATCCCTGAATATCAGCCTATGTTTTACTGTCCTCTTCCTTTTAAATTTTTCTTTAAGGTGAATCATGTTAAAGTTGGCTCAACGCTTCCAATCAGTTTCATCAACAGTTAAAATATACCTACACAAACTGTAGAGGTCTCTTTACTCACCTTACACGGTCTTACTTCGTAGATGATTTTTTTTCTGTTGAAGTCCAGTTTGTGTTAGATTCTTGAGAGTTTGTGTTTTCGATCGCTGGCGCCCGCCTTTATACAAATTGGGCAGGAAGCAGTTTGGTAGGTTCTGCATCATCTTTTCTATAAAGAACTAGTGGGTGTTTACCTTGAAGCCTCTTCCTCACTCACTCACTACCCTTCTGGAGAAATTTTCAACTCTTCCTGAACAGGCATTCAACGTTCTCGATATTGACGCCATACCAAAAACGTGAGTCGATAAGGAATAATTTCAAACTTTACGAAAATGAAGCTTTTATATGAGTCATAAGGCGAAATGTTACCACTCTGTATTGGAAGTAGCGATGGCCGACGCTGAGTGGAACATTGTATACATGATGGTATTCAGAACAGATAATTTCATCTGTTCTATTTATGTTACCTGTTACCCTCATCTTTGTATTAATCAAGCCGCTGCAAGACGGCCTTAGACTTGAGGATTTGGAAGAGATTTGGGATAATGCATGTAATCGTTCTCTTCCGCAGTATAGATACAATTAATTTTAAGCTTCGTGATCATGCATAATCGCAGATTTCCTTTTCTCGCAGAGGGTCCAATATTATCCTCATAAAAGGAAATAACTTTCAGTTTTCATACGTGGGTAATGTTCCCCTTATATGATCGCTCACGAGAGGACTTCAACTGACTGAGAAGCTTGCAGTAGTTTAAATGATCATGTCGAAGACTTATCAGTTGATCATGGAAACTTAACTCTATCAAATCTGTTCAGCCCTACGCTTTCTACATTTCATTGAACTAGGAGAAAAAAAAATCTAGAAAGATCCTAGAGGCTTATTTCAAGAAATTTGTTTTATGCTGATTTGGAGTTACCAAACTCCAATTTTCATTTGGCAGTCATTGTTTACAGGACTAGTACATTTATGGGCATGCAGTTGATAATATCTAATCTAAACTGGCAACTCGTCATCGTTTGACCTTAGAGGTAATTCGTAGAGAGACGAGAGTACTGTTAACTTAACACCTGACTTACTAATAAACGGGACTGAGTGACAGCTTTTGTCTGGTAAACCTTTGAAATCGTATAGAAAAGCACTAAAAGGAAAAGAAATACATGGTAAAGCCGCTGATTATCATATAATTTTTATTAATATAAGGAATAAATGGTTCCTTCCTATTTGACGGGATCCATTTATTTTTAAACCAAGGGAAGTAAATTGATCGAGATCCTTCACATATAGGCTTTTCTCTTCCCAGTTAACCAGTTTGTATTGTACTGTATTTCGCTGTCGTATATTGCTCTGAATTTTGGATGTGTGACGCAGAGTATGGTTTAGAGTCACAGCTATCATGACCTATTTGTGAACAGAAAGCTCAAATATGATATTGAACAACTCGTTTGAACGAAATGTATGATACTATGTTACGAAATTGTGGAATACTATGGCATTGACATAGACAACTGAGTCAATTTTGCTTTTTAGACAGCATTAAACAAAGGAATTTTTATGGAATTGTGGGTGAAAATGTACCGAATTTTAAGGAACAACTGCTGTTACATTTTTTCTCGCCCACGAAGAAGCGTGTTGGTTAGTTCATTCGGTTTTACTTGTACATTGGATATGTTGTCGATATAGAAATATACGAGATGGAATGATCAAAAATCTACTGAGGTTTTTGTGTCAAGAAAAACATAAAAGCTAGCTTAAAGAATGATAGTTTAAAGTTGTGATTACGGAAGGCTCCCGGTTTTTTCGCATTATTGCGGTTGTTTATAAAATAATATTATGTGTTTAACATAATGAAAATGGTGTACACTAGTGAGATTTAAACCTTTTTGACTTTGTTCGAACTTGAAAATGATTCTGTTCCGTAATTTTCTTAAATCCAATTTTAATTAGTGTTGTTTGTTAAACGAATGAAGAATGAAGAAATTGTTTATATACAGTGATGAATATATTACCAATAACAAGTAGAATCACCGTACAAAGTCGTTCCATATCATTTGACGAAATGTACGTATATCTGCCATCAAACAGTAGCTGTAAATCATTGATAAATGGAAAGACTTAGCCCAACTTTATTTGCGAGCAATTCTCTTTTTTGAAGCTAGTTTTGGATCAAAATTCTCAAGGAATTACATGCTTTAATTCCGTTCCGTAAGCATAACTGACAGTGCAGAGCATACATGTAAGTGTTGATAGAAACGGTCGTCGCCGTTGCTGTATGTAAAGTATACATCCGCTATCAAACGGTAGCTGCATACCATAATTAAGGGCGAGGAATTGGCCCAACTTTCTTCGCAAGCAATTATCATTCTTTAGACTAGTTTCGGATCAAAATCCTGAGGAAATTTCACGCTTTCATTTCGTCCCGTAAGCGTAAGCGGTGGAAGAAGCGACTGTCGCCGTTACCATGATATTGATTTAAGTTTGAGTTATCTTCAGTTCTCTCAACTATATCCATACTAAATACCCAGAGCGAGGCACACTATTGATTGGCTCCAAAATTTATTATAATGCGATTTCTGTTAGGATCCAGTCACACTGTGCCTGTTGGAAGTGGCTGACGCGCTGAACAGTATTTTAATAAGTGACTGTTATGGATATTTTTAATCAAGATAAGTCTGATCTTGGCAACTAAGCATGTTACTCGGGAAGAAAACGTGAAGACCACAGGCATTTCAGGAATAGAAATGCTACTCAACGGTACGTTTTATTCAATAGAGCAGAGACAAATATATAATGAGCTCCACGGGAAGGTAACACTTTAGTGTATTTCATCCTCTCTGTGTTTTGATCATTTTAGCACCTAGACAAGGGAAGCACAGTGAATAATTCTAGTAGCTTAATAGGGTTCCACAAAATATTGCATGACTCATAACCGTCATCGCCCTTTTTGGCGGCGTGCTTTCGTCAACCAACGAATTTCCCTTTTGCAAGAACTGAGAATGAATTGGTTTTCCCCGTAACTTCAGGCCGTGTACAAGCGGGTATAGAATTGTAAGAATTAACCATACAACATTGCGTTTTCTAAGTTTGCAACGAAGAGCACGACTTGAGACACAAACAGCTTCGTCAACAAGAAGGTGAGGGTTTTTTTTTTTTTAGCTGGCGGGAGCCCAATTCAGTTGATACAAATGCTAGAGCCCTGAACATAGTGTACACGTATTTCGTTTTCAAATAGTACATAGGTCGACTTTCGAATCGAGGATGCCCTGTGTAAATCTAAATAATACTACTGTACTGTTAATCTTTGGACACTGTTTCTAGTGGTTATTTGAAAATTATTTATGTATTATGAAAAATATATCTGTTCATGTTGTGAAACTGAAGCATGAAACCATAAGGAAGTAGAAGAAGAAACTGGAAATGTGACAATAATAGTTTTCTGAGATCAGAATGAATGATTAATGCGAAACGAGCTGTTCTTTTTTATTTAAATATTTCATTTTCAGAAAAAAATCGTCTCTTCTTTAATTTTTTTTTCATAAAATACAGTCTACTCAGAATTTCTTAATAATGACTTTTACTAGATCCATCGATCTGACGACCTTCTTCATTGAGCAATACTACTTAATTTACAATGCAATTTCAGCACATGTATGCTCTCGCATCGACGGGTGTACCCTAAAAAATTTGTTAAACTTGTGAGAGATTACTTTTGATCGTTCAGCACATTCCCTCCAGTTAAACGCCTCGTTCTTACTTTGGCTCCCTATGGAAAAGCCTAAGGTCAAAATTCGATCGCGGTTCTCGTACTGGCTGGAAGCAAATATTAACCACAAAACGAATACTACCAATTTATCACTTTAGAAGGCAAACGTCACTAGAAATAGTTGATTAATTATAAAAAGTGACTTAGAGAGGACTAGGTAAAACCTCAAATTGTTTCGGTATACCGTCTGTCTTCGCGTTTTGGAGGACCTCTTTACTTTCTTACGGACTTCAAGTTCAAAGATGATAATATCAGTGGTACGTTACTGGCTATAAATCAGAAATCACAAAACACAAATTGATGCCATCGTAGAGGGAAGCCCGAGGGAAGCCCAAGTGAAGGCCACTGCAGCCTCTTACTTAAAAAGGAAAAGTAAAGGGTAACAGTAAGAGCCAGCCGTTTCATAGAAGATGTTTTTTAATAGGAATCGATCTCATAATATTGATCAAAGCTCACGAGAAGAGCGTCGCATTATCCGTGTTTCCTTGAGTTCATGTCACGGTGTTAGGCATTATCGGTCACATTAACAGTCCACATGTTTGAAGAGAATAAGCCATCAAACGATAGTTGCTCGTCACATTTAAAATAAATTAAAACTTAAGACATCATTTACTAGAAATTATTTTCGAGTCTCTTCGTGAGTAGCATGCACATGAAACAATAGTTTATCAGCAGATTATCAAAATCCCAAAATCAATGGAGTTTCCATGCCGCATCTCAAGAGGCAAACTAAAAGCGGTAAGCTGTTAGGTCAGGTATACTTGTCATTGGCATATTCAGGAGCCGATATTCGAAGATAAAGTGCCCGTAAAATTCTAGGGGCCATCTCTTGATTTTTTACTTTTTCTTTTAGTCGTGCCATAAGTACAGGGCGAAACCTGTATCAAGACGTCGTGAAGTGTGTATAAGATTACGAAGTTTCGCAATCGTTTCACAACATCATCTGTTATCGTCAATGTCTGAAAATAAAACAAACTAAAGTGTAAGCCTATCACTTACAAATTATTCCAAGGACTTAATAGCTCAACCTCGTCTGACTGCATTAAGTGAAAATTTAGCTCTGAGAGCTTGCGGTTAAAATAAGTAATGTTCCCTATTTGCTACATTTATTCCTTCCCATCAAGTATCTACCTAAAATGAATCGATTTTGTGATGCGATTTCTCTGTTAAGTCACTCATGGAGGTGATAGGTTAATTATGTGTATGACGCAGAATCTAATGAAAAACATTAAAACCAACACGGCTGAATGTGATAGGTTGGTAGACAACTGTTTTTAAGCTCACACGATGAAATGATTTTGAATATCAGCTCTGTGTTATTGGGATCTCTTTTCATTCTATGATATGTAAAGATGGCTTTTGAATATTCAATTATAAAGGTTTGATTGATTCGATTGGAAGAAACATTTTCTGGGCAACTGCAGTGGAGAGGTTTTCATCTCTACTGTCACTTTGGCCCTTTGATGTACTATCCTTGTCCAGAGGACAGGAAACCCTGAAATGTTGTGCGAAATATTCCTCAGTAATACTTCACTTACCACAAGGTTCCTTCTGACCAAGGTTTTCAGGTAAGTTCCTGTAATGTTATTGAACTGAGCTTCAGATATTACAGGATATTCTGGTGGCCAGATTCCTTCTTGTCTCATCTACAGAACAAAGAGAGTAAAGCACGAATATACTAAAAATAAAATGAATAAATGAAGGAAGAGTCAATCAACCTAAAACATCTTGTGATATAAACAATAAAACGGACAATATGACACGAAGAGAACTGTAGGGGCCATTCTCAATGATCTTCAACAAGCAACAGCGATGGAACACTTTGTATTTCTATGAATCACATTTTCTCATAAGGCATGGTACTGCACCAAACAGTATAAACTGGCATTAAAGATAGTACTTTGTCCATTGTTTTGCAATTCCAGAATAAGTTAATTGGTTTGTTGTGGTAAAACATTCGTTTTAATTTGCTGGTAAAAGTAGAAGAATTTTCTAATAATTTTCCTTCTCGTTTAAGGGGATCTAATAATTAAGGGATACACATAAGACGGAAACAACTGTTATGATGCTAATTCAAAATATTCACTTTATCCTTTTAGTTGCTTCTGAATGGATCCCACATGAATGGTTTTTAGCACACCTTATGTCAGCAATAACTAAATGATATTTTACTGTTATACAGCGGATTTTTCTCGTAAGCATTACCTGATATCTGATAAAAGATACTGTGGCATTAACCATAACACTCATCGTCCTCAGAACTGATGCCAAGCTAGTATGATTACGTCCCTGAGAAGTTACGTACAGGACAACGAAGTTCAAAGGGCGCTTGAAAACAGCTAACTGTGAGTGCAGTACACTAAGCTTCTTTCCAACTTCCTATAAAGTATAATGACTACAATTTTCTCGTCAACCATTCAAACTATTTTCATAAACGTATTCTTAAAAAAAGCCCTGCTTTTGCTATTAAATGTAAGAAGTAAAAAACACAAAGATTTTAAACCTAAATACTGATCAGTATATTTCACTTAACAAATTGTAATCGCAAACGTTCTCTCAACTTATCTCTTTTTCTGAAGGCTTTAAAACGTAATTTTGCCTTGCAACTGTGACAAAATGGAATGAGCGTGACAGAAGAAACATGTGACTAGATCACTATTTTGATACTTGGGAAGAAATAACAAAATGATGTTCATGTTTTGATCTGTCCATTTTGATGTAGCAGTATTGTCTATGTCCATCAAAGCAACAGCATAATGCTGTGGCTCCAGCCGAAGATATCAGAATATCATCATCTGTAGAGAATGATTATAAATGATACATTTTAAATACTATGTATACCTCAATCAAACTTCACATTAACCAGCAATTTTAATTTTCTTATCTTTCTAATATGACACATACTAAAGTCTGACCTCTTCTTTGGGTATCATGTGACATCTTAAAAAGATGCCTGAAATACTTATATATTAGTTTGGCCATAGTTATACCAGTATTTTTCATAAGTCATTAGATGGCTATTAAAAGTTTTTCTCTGCATTATACGCATGACAGATAAGTGAGAGACCTGTTTATGTTTTGAGGTAGAAACCTCACTTAACCTCAAGTTCATAAATGTGCTCGCAAATGAGTTATTTTCAGTACTAGTAAATCAAGAACATTTTCTTTGATCCTTTTTTGAAGTGGTCTTATCTTTTGTAGGTCAACCTCGCGGTCCTGCATTTTTTTTTATGAGCTGGAGAATTTCGTTCAAAAGGCTCGTATCGTGAATTTTCTCAATAGATTTCCCTTTTCTGAGGAGGTAATATTCACAAAGGAAACTTATCACTGTTTTTCCTCATTTAGAAAATGTAACATCTCTTGCCACACAGTAACACAGCATTTCCACCACATGTATTTAAAACTGTAAAAATCATTTTGGTAGGATTTTTATTTTGGCCTAGAGCAACTTTGTACCTTCTCTTTAGTGCAGTCTTTCCCAAGATTGAGACCGAGAGTAATAGGAGGCTCGTAAAAATAGTCCGAAGAAGTAATGAAAGGGTACAGCAACTTCATCTGTAAGAAAACACATGAACATTTTCAGTTAGCAGATTGCCTAATGTAGTTTTTTACGACTGTTTTTTTTTTTTTACTGTAACGAATTGAGAATGTTTTATGACTCACAAAGCCTTCAGATTATTACCAAAAGAAATGATTGTTCTGAACGATTTGAAAAAACCAAACTTAGCACAGACCTTGAATGATTGAAGCTTTAACCCATTAAAGTTTAAGCCAGCATAGAATCACATCAAAAGGCTAAATTCGCGATAAATTGAAATTGTGGTTTAATCTTTCTCTTTCATATGAATTAAGTCCAGCACGTTTAGCAATAAGCAAAGTAATCATGAATTTTGAAGGTTTTCTGACCGTAACCTGAACAGTGGCGTTGTGTATTGCAGGAATAATGATAAGTTTGATCAAGATTGTCGCGTGGCTTATCCTAAACCTTGGTGTAGATGAATTTGTTGCAGTGGTGGCTGTAGACATTTTCTGTGTAATAAATACCAGGACAAGGAAAACGATCTTCGTCGACTCCATCTCTGTTAAAACAGTGGGAAAAAGATGAATTACCCTTTCCTGATCAAAATAATTGAATGATGGATTTCTAGCATTAAAAGTAAATACAGAATTGTAGTTCTGTAGTTCTAATTTAGACCAGTTTTTTTCACCCCTGTCGATTTGCCTGTAACGATGTTATGTTACTCCTATCCAATCCCCTGCTGCCTTGAGTTATGCCCAAATTTCCAACGACTATATGCTAATGGGAACTATAAAGGAATAATTTCTCTAGAATGTGACAGTTAAATACGTAGTTGTTCACTTAGAACACTAGGGAACTTGTTTTGTTTATAGCAAAAGTAGTTGTAAATAAACAACTGTGTCCGCCATCACCGTGACACTGCAAGGCGTTTGAATCAAATCACCGTCAACAGAAATGCTCACGAATCAGGTACAATGACTTCCCATTATATATTGCTACAACTTCAAAACAACTTTTAATGCCACCTTATATCTTGTGAACAGATTTTAGCTCCCACTCCATCTTCACTTGCATAACACATCAGGGCACTTCGAGTTTGTTTACTTCGTTAATCGTTATTCATATGCCTATTAAATATACTTTTTGGGAATTGGTTTCCGAACATTTTTCAGATTATTGTTGTTCTAGAGTAGGCTACGCTGAAAGGAAAGTCTACTACATTTTGTATTCCGTATGCACTTGTTACTTACCTTTGGACTATCTTGTGATCAAAGTCAACGTTCGAACAGTGCTTTTGGAGTTTCTATTTATTGCGTGAGCTTCGAATCCTGGGAAGATGTTAGTTCTGAGAATGCGCGGTAAATGTTTATCTCCGGATCCTCATATTAGTTTGTTCATTTGGAATGTTGTAGAAGCCAACCTTGAGATCAGCCATTTGGTATAGACACGAATAAGGAGGAACGTTTGATAACGGTCACTATGTATTAGAAAAATGAACGTGGCTTTAGTTTTTGATCTCAGCAAGTTATAGAAATTAATGAAGTTGAATTTCACATAAATCAAACTGCCTTTGAAGTCTGTTGGGTCTAAAAAATCTTACGGAAAGGATGGGAAAGATCGCTGAGAATCAGAGAAAAAGTTGAAAAAGAAGGTATAGAAGAAATGCTCCTATTTTTTACAACGACCGGTAAATTACCCATTTTCATGAAAGGGTATAATGGGTGATGGACGCTTTAATTCAAAAAAATAGTTAAAATTTGGAACTACTATTTTTACTTATAGGCTTGATTTAATATGTAAATATATATATATCTATATATATATATATAGATATATATATTTTACTTCTGTTATCTAAATTATTAGAAAGAGGGTCACGGAATTTAAACAGTTCTTTCAAGTTTTAGTTATAGCTGTTGTTGCAGCTGAAGATGGAATACAGCTCCCTTTTCATAATTTTGTTTTTCTTTTATCAGAAGCCGTGACTTAAAGTTCCTTTCTGTGATTAACACCGCGACAGCAATTAATTGAAGATCGATAAGTAAACTATTCAACATTAACTGCTTTGTCTTCAGTTATGGAAATAATCTATATATATCTGAGATATATTTAACATTTTTTCTCACAAAATATGATCCTTTTTCCCTTTGATTTTTAACATAATGGCTCAATCTTTCCTCTAAAATGAAGTACTCCTTTGTGCAATGTTTTGAATGTTTTCTGCAAGCCTACTTCTTATCAGAAATGTTTTAAATCTAAGTAGCCTAAAAGTTTGAACATGAGGTAAAAGACTGGAGTAATTTAGAATCTAAAATATGATGTATATATGTAAAGAACATCAATGTGATCATAAATATTAGAGATAAGTTATGGTAGTACCCACATGAATAAAATTTTACTGTCAAAATACGCTCCTCGACAACACTGATGGAGTTTTTGTTCCTCCTGTCTAGATAAGAATATTTTACACCTGAACTTAGCTGTACTTTAAATGCTTTTGACAGTGATTGATCACTTACTGATGCTAAATTTGTCAGCTCGGTGATGGTGTTGTCGAATATCTTTTAGTTTCCGAGTATGTCGGTTGAATTAAAGAAGTTTCTTTCATTCAGTTCATGTTTTGTATTATGTAAACCACAATATGGATTAAAAATGTTTGTTGGCTTGCAGACCTTTATACTTTAATTGTTGTTTTTTATGTTCAAATTATACTCATACGTGTTTGAGGGGAGCTATTTTCTTTACTTGTCTGTAGTACATAGATAAAAGTTTCTTTCCATCCACATATCACAGTTACACCAACAAGTAGATGCTGTTACAGATTCTTAACACCATTCAGTAACCTGTCAACAGCTAGATATATCTTGGACCACAGATTTCTGTCTTTAGTGAGTCTTATCTCTGGTTACATGAATGAAGACTGGGATTTCATAGTCATTACTAAACTAAGATGTACTTCTTTTCCTTTCAATTTCGTTATAAACACTGAAATATATCAAATGTTGTTTATCAAGTCTTCATTACTTTTTTCCATTTCTTGAAGACAGCAGCTTCTAACTCGATGTGTGATAAGACTAAAAGTGTAGAAACTTTTATTCAAGTAAGTTTCAGCTTAAGGACCACTTATTACTTATTCTTATTTCTTAATGGGTCACTGGCAACTAACGTTCTTACATGGTGGTTTGACGAGAAAATCGAATATCTTGGTAAATAACACGATTACACGAAGCTAACCATTTAAACCCTTTAGTACCTTATCTAATAAGAAAATTTTTTGATAAAGTTCCAAATTGATTATTATGAACAGTTCAATCAGTTAAATCTTAAGATATCCCTTCCCCCATAATTATTTTCTTCAAGCATCATTTCCAAGAAACGTAAAAATTGATTCATGTTCAGTCTTTGTAATATTCAGGCGAGCATTCCTTGATTCCCAAAAGTAAGTGATCCTATTCCCTTGCAAAAATCTGAGAAAAAATCTATTCAGGAGTCAAGAAAATTCAACTAAAAACAAAATAATATACAGCTAATGAATCATTCGCAAATTTTCAACATTCGCACAGCGATAAATCGTAACTGTCTTATAGGTAAAGCGATTTTCTATGCAGATTTTTATATGATCGCGATATTCATTGCTTTCTTCATTATGTAAAATGTCTACCAGTTGGTGTCTTTTCAAATTTTACCAACTCAATCAGCTTCTACTGTATACAAACGCAGCAAACAACAGTAGTTTTGTTTTAATTTTCTCAATGATTTTTTTTCGGTTTTGTAGAAAAACAATTCACGAGTCTAATCGGTGAGATTAGATGGTGGTTTGACTAGGAAATCGAATATCTTGGTAAATAACACGATTACACGAAGCTAACCATTTAAACTCTTTGATCTCAGATTTTCTGACCTTCACTCCTCACTAAATTTGATTTAAGTTATTTAGTACCTCGGAAAAATAACATTGCATAAAAATTTTCTTTCGTAGCAGTTGAGAGCCTGAGCATTGACTCTTGCTCCTTGTCCGTAGAATTTGTATGAGCTGGCATGTTTTTGACAGATGCATCGCCATTTCCACAAAATTTCAATGCTCCGATCCTCTGAATTCTTTTGGTTTTGATATCTATTTTCGGAAAGGTTTTGTAGATTTATCTGATGTTTAAAAGATATTGTTGCCTCAACTTTTTAGTAGTTGCTATTGTTTTCAATAGCATCTCAATCAGGTCCGAGGATGATAAATCAAGTGATGAATTTAGCATCGCCGAAGAATTTGATAGATATCTAAGCGACATTTTCCCAACTTCGCTTTAATACTGACAAATATAATGTAAAACACTGTTTTAAACGTTTGTTACATGTGATTTAGACTAGAAGCATACATGATACTTAGAGTGCGACTTCTCGATTAGTGTAAAGTATTTTCAGTTGACTACAGTGACGTGGTCACACAACAAAAGATGCTAGCATTAACTAAGAAGTAGCGGCGTGGTAGCTTTTGCTATATGCTCATACCAAAGGAATTTTTACTCAGTAATTAAAACACAGAGTTACTGCTCACCTTTACAAACTGGAAACAGTTCGCTCTCTGCTACGAACACAGCCGTTAGCTCTGTTTATGTCGCGTTCTGGCTTCTTTCGGTTGGTATGCCGCAGTCGCTTACACATCCTTTTGTACACCATGGTTTACATTTTATGATGCGGTGTAAACCTGTAGTATTTGGTCCTTTGAATCGCTTTTACTGCACCTGGAAGGTAACAATCCTCTGCGATCTTCAGGCTTCTACGTTAAGCTGCATGAAATGAGACAAGGAATTCCCTGGGTAACTATTTCACACATTTTCTTCGAAAGATAGGAAGTTTATGTTAGAAAACAATTGGGCCTATTCATAGGACAGATTTTTGTAACCCCAGAGTCTGTTGCTAAAGTGAATCATCGGAAACGGTCTAACTGAAATAAGAAGCTCTGAAACATTCAATTTAAGGTAGATGGTTTGCAAGTGAAATCGTGCCTGGATTAAAAAATTCTTTACGTAAGGAGCTTTATCGCAGTAAAACTTGAATTAAGCTTGTGATTTGACTAATATTTCAATTTGAATCAAGACCTCTTGCAGGCACATTTGCTTCGGTACTCATCCCAAACCAAACCTTTTCTTATAGATAAAGGCTGATAGTTTCTAAAGAAACTGTTTGGGGCTGCGTCGGTTGGGGTAACGAAATAATTTGAATATATCAACAAAGTTGAAATGGTAAATTGGCCAGCGTTACGATTATAAAAGCTGACGTTTCGAGCGTTCGCCCTTCGTCGGAGCGAATAGTGCTCGAAACGTCAGCTTTTATAATCGTAACGGTGGCCAATTTACCATTTCAACTTTGTTAATATATTCAAGTCTTTTCTTTTAGAAAACGGATCTCGGCACATAAACAAAACCCCTAACGACTTCAAGTATCAACGGAGTCAACTCTGCACGTGGCTGAGCGTAGGGTTCTACCTGCTATTTGGTCTTGTGATTATTTGAATCATCGATTAAGCTGTACCTTAGGTAATGCGCATTTATTTGTACTTTTAATAGCATAACATCGAGAAACATCCTTTTTAATCCTAGTGATGATGCACTCGTGTTTATTCTTGTATGTGCCTCCTACAAGGGAATTGTTATTCACTTTAACCATGGCAAATACAAGAAATCGTAAGTACAAACATATAATTGTAGTTTTGAGATTTGTGACTTGTTCTTAACCACTTTCCTGAGGTCCAGCGGTATCATGTTGTACCATACAGAGCTGATATGAATTTGTGTGCTCAAAGTCTTTTTCATGTACCTCATTTCTTCTTCTCTCTATTCTTTTTTCTTTGAAATTATGAATTCACTTTCCTCCCTTCTCTTATATTTGAGTTCAAGATGCTATAATAGGACTGTAGGATTGAAAGGAACATTTTCTGCCAGGATTGTATTTTATGGAACCCTGAATGACTCCAATTTTAGAGGATCACAGCTTAATTCATAGACTTTTCCTTGCAACGACTTAGCCGTTGTTTTGAGTCTTTCATTTCTAGGAAGACCAAACAAGTTTTCTCAGAAATCATGTGATAAGTTGAGATATTTATCTGATATTATCACGTCATTAAGACGTTTTGGCATATTATCGCTGTTTTACTTTGACCAGTCTTGTTAAATTATAGTTAGATGAAAATAAATTAGCAGATTCAACACTCTTCAATTGCATAATGAAAAGCTGATTCGTAAAATTCGTAAAACTTTGATTTTATTTAGTGAAATAGCAATCAAGGTTTGGGAAAAATGTACCAGTACTTGTGAAAGATCGGGTTGAATAAAATGTAATTTTAAGTATGATTTGATCATTTTCGGTCACGGTACTGCCAATTTTTTTGGAAGAGAAAGTTATTACATATTATAAACGGCTTAGCGTTTTGGATGGTTTCTGCAACAGGCATGTCAGTGGAACTTAATGCAAATAATCAATCACTGTTCGACGAAAAATCAATTCCCGGTATTTTTAGATAAAAAAATTGCACCTCTCTGACAATAGGCGTAGAACGATGCTACATCTATTGCTGATGGTCTTTCAGTGTATTCTTCTATATGTATTTATGTATTCTTACAATGAAGATAAGATTTGCACGAAGAAATACGTACCTGAGCTTTCCAATGTTATACGCCTGTTTTTAGCATTCAAGATTTTTTCCTGAAAATTGGCTTGGAACTTTAACATTGTTGAGGAACAAAGACATGGTAGCTCTTGCCATGCCGCCATGTCATTCGGAAGGCACTCAACCTGACTGATCCTTTCCTGGTACATACATTACTTCAAAACAGAACTTTACATGTACAATTAACAAGCAGGAACTCTTGCTCGACCCAACTCAAGTTTATAACAGCACATTTCCACGAATTTGGTCCTTGAGTTTTGACCTTCCTTTTTCTAGGAAATTCATCAATATCACGTCATCCGAGCTATGTGATATCTGTTTAAATATGTTAGGTATTATGAAAGGAGGTAAAATATAAGCTTATCAGCAAAATTAATCTTTTCACAAAAGTTTTATCATCCTTATTAGAGTTTTCCTACAGTTTAACTTTAAAGCCCGACTGTCCTAGTTGAGCAGCACCACACGTTACCTAACAAAAGGTCGGTTTATTTATACCGCAATTGTTGAATGTGCGTCATTCCGGGATTTCTTAGAAAAGTGAAATAAGATAATATTGAGAGCATCGACCTTTTCGTGATATTGCAGAACTTATATTTAAGATTACAGACGAAGACATAGAGACATTATCCATGGAAACAAAAAAGAGCTGGTGGAGTTTTTCTTGCATCGCAATAGCACGAAAGCAAAACAGGAAACAGTTTAAGGAGTAAATGAAGCTTTATTAGATTATTAATTAATCATCTGCATTCTGCATTTACATCTAAAATCGCCTTATTTAGATTTTCCTCCTTAAAAAGTTATTACGAGAAATTTATAGTTTCCTTTTAGTTGTAAATCCTACTGTTTAGGCTTTACATTTGATTCAAACAGATTGACAACGTTTCCAGCAGGTTTATATCGCGCCACCACATACACGTTTGTGTTGTCTTTGGTTTTCGCCTTTGCCATTCCAAGCTCATTTGAGGCACCCCAAACCAACTGCAAAGGAAAAAAACATTTCATCGAGGGGATTGACAATTATTACGCAATAGAAAAGGTTCAGCCGATTCACGTTAACGGTATTATAAAATGACAGAAGAGTGAGCAGCAAGGTAACTTTTCATAAGGTATACTTTAACATTGTAAAGTAAGAAAACCGAATAGCAGTGCATTAAAAAACAGCAAAGTAACTTCTAAGCCAGGTTTCTTCAGCCAAATTTGATGTACTTTATTCATCTTGCTTCACAGTAAATTCGATGAGAGACAAGTTTTTGATTCTCCGATAGATCTACATGCAATCATGAAGGAAAACTATTTTACGATGGCATTTATTCGGTACCTGTTCCTTCAGAAAAAGCTAATTAAATGCATAACTGTATGTATTAAAATCATAGGGAATATGACAATTCCCAAACTAGAACAATTTACGGGATGAAGGAGAATATTTAAGATAATGAATAAGGCAACAAAAACTGTTGGTTGGAGTCTGATTGAGTATATCGGCGACAGCGGTTAATTACAACCTATGTGGGGGGTATAAGTACAAAACATTATGACGCTCCTTATTATAGGCTCATAGTCCCCTCATCTCTGACCTGTGAAAAATGGCCAGTGTCCGTAGAGAATTTAGCCTCTTTAAAGTTGTATTGTCCCACTTCATTGTACCAGGCATCAATTGCTCGCAGTAATGCCTTGTCATCACTTCCAACCTCGGCTAGATTTTCCCCATAATCAGTCGAACCCTCGTTCTCATGCACAAGTCTCTGTTCTCTGGCTAATTTTTCGGCCCAGTCCTGCGCTTTTGCCGCCATCTCTTTGTTCCAGGTTAACAATGGGGCCTGGTGCATTGCTCTATACATGTTGTGAAGCATCAACGCATCTTTACTTTCATCAGCAGTAGGGCCTACGGTGTAAGTTTAAAGGCGCTCAACATTAGCTTTCTGAAACAAATGAAGCTTTTCTATCCTCATGACAATATCAGTTATCATGCCTACCAGGCCTCATTAATGATAATGGTAGACAACGTATTTGAATCACCAACAGCGCTTTATCCGTAATAGAACTCAAGTTCAGTTCCAAATGATATATTTAAATACCGTAAATCCTCTGTTAAGCCCCCCCTCTAATAAGCCACCCCCTCTAATAAGCCCCCCTCTTTAGAGAAGGAAATTTATTAAGCCCCCCATCTATTAAAGCCCCCCACCCCTCTCCCTCAAAAAACAAACAAAAATTTAAAGTAACACTCCACGTCAGTAAGTACGATAGACTTAATCAAGTATTGTAATTTTAGTTTATAGTGAACATCGGGCTAAATTGATAAGCCCCCCCCCCCCTCTAATAAGCCACCCTCCAAAGTACCTGAAATAAATAAGCTCCCGGGGGACTTATTAGAGGATTTACGGTTTGCAAATAAGCAATCATGATAAGTAAACCCAAATACAATAATATGTAACGTATGCAAAAAAGGTTGATTTGTCAACTTAAGTCGCCCATTCTGTTTACCTGAAGTGGCTACATAATAGGTCTACCCCGATATCGAAAGCCTTCATACCTCTTTCTTGGCATAGTGGGCCCCAGTATCCCTCGGGACACGTACAGGTGGCATTACCCTCCTTTACTTCACATGTGCCACCGTTCATGCAGGGGTTTGGCTCGCATGGGTTTGGTGGTGATGGGACTGATGTAGGCTTTGGACCTATCGTTTGAGAAATAAGATAAGTTATTTCGCAAAGAGCGGTTTCTTTAATGTTAATGGAATCATTCAGCTAATTCATTTTCATAACTAATTCGTTTGTATGTTATGTACAAATTTCAATCATAATTCAGGTATTACACTAAATCGAACCAAACGACTAACTCTACCATGCGAAATATTTTGTGGTACACAGACCACCGTGTTAGTTTCTAAGTGAAATAGACCGCATAGATGGGCTTGTTCAAGGCTGGTCATTAATTATGCCACTGGATTCGCTGTCTGCTATAATAGCTAAGAATTCAATGAAAGAGAAGGCCATTCCTACCGATCAGAAAAGTTAATGGGTGAACCGGCCGAGGAGCTGTGTTTGTTATACAATTGGTGATGCCGAGATCTTAACGCGCAAATTTATTCCATGGACATCTGATGAAAAATCAATTGGCAAGCTAATTTTTCTGAAACCTAATCGCAATGTTGGGAATTAGCTAGGAAAACTAACTGTAGATTAACTAGGCAAGCATGCTTCATTCATGATCATGAAAATTAAATCATGTAAGGTAAGACAGAGAGTGATTCACAAATTGTTTTTCCTTTTTTAACCGATTGCTTCCTTCAGAGCTGCTTATGTTCATTTCGTTTTCCGAAAATTGCAATAAAAAATATTGGTCACATATTCTATTTAATCTATTTCGCGTTTTCTGCCCTCCCTAAGATTTTAGAACTGTCGTTGGGTAACAAGTGCCGTTCTTGAGAAATCCCTTTTAATGTAATAATACTCTCGGAAGTATAGCAAAGGCATAAGAAAAGCGCACAACGCTTGAAATATTTTTCTGTCATTGATGCCAGCTTGTTTTGAATGGTTTGAAAAACTACCTGGTCAAAAATTGGCGTATAGTCGATTCTCGAAGAAGCAGCGGATTCCAACCAAAAACGGTACTTGTTCCCGCGACTGAATACGTGAATCGTGGTTGCTCGTGGTTTTGAATACACCATGTTCGTATCCAGTCTCGCAGTGGCATTCTGTACCTGTTGTAGCAGTAGGTGTTGTGGTTTGTGTTGTTGTAATATTAGTTGTTCCTGGATTTGTTGTGGGTGTCGTTGTTTCCTGTCCAGCTGTTGTTGTTGATTCCAATGTTGACATCGTTGTACCAGTTGTCTGAACAGTAGATAAAGTGGAAGGTTCTGCTGTTGGTTTGGTTGTTCCTGCACCTGTTAATGTTGTTGTCATCGTACTAGGTGAAGTTGGAGTCGTCAAGTCTGGGTTTGTGGAAGTGGTAGACTGAGCGCTTGGAGATGTTAATTCTGTATTTGCTGTCGTCGGCGAGGTAAGCTGTGGCTTAAGCGTTGTGGTAGACTCTTCTGGATTTATAGTTGAAGAAAGTGTCGGTGTCGTTAGGTCTGGAGGAGCTGTTGTTTCCGTTGTTTCTGAAGTGAAAGTTGTCACAGTCGGTGTTGTTACCCCTTGACTTGTGGTTGTTTCTGTCGATGTGGTGGTTGATAATCCTTGTGGTTTACTGACAGATGAAGTCGTTTGCTTAGTTGTTTTTTCTGGTGTCGTTGCGACAGTAGGTGTCGTCAATTCTGGCTTTGTGGTCGTCAGAGACGTTGGTGTTGTCTGTGCAGGTGTAGTTGGGGACTGTTGAGGGGGAGGCGTAGCTGTAGGTGTCGTTTCTCCAGGGCTTACCGTGGATGATGTTGTCTGTGCCGGTGTGGTTGGAAATTGGTGCGGAGGAGGCGCCGTTGTAGATGTTAAAGTTGTAATCCCTGGGCTAGCCGTAGTAGTTGTTGTCAAAGTTGTTTGTTCTGGTTTCGCTGTCGATGAAGCAGCTGTCAACTGAGGTTTTAACGTGGTTCCTGTAGTTGGTGTGGTCTGTCCAGGAAACTGTTGCGGGGGAGTTTTAGTTGTTGGTGTCCCAGTTGTAGAGGAGGACTCAGAAGTTAGTGTAGGTAATGTAATGGACGTGGTAGTTTCCTCGGGATTAACTGTTGATGAAGTGGTAGTCAGAACAGGTTCCATCGTGGTTCCTGTTGGTAGTGTTGTCTGTGTAGGTGTAGTTGGAAATTGTTGTGGAGGAGGCATAGTTGTTGGTTTTGATGTTGTGATCTCTGAACTACTTGTGGTAGTAGTGCTTGTCGTTGTTTCTGGTGGTGTTGGTGACGATGACGTAGTTGGGGAAGTCTGTTCTGGATTCAGCGTGCTTAAAGTTGTTTGCGTTGTTGTTGGCTCAGGTGTAGTGGTGGTCATGGTCGTTTCGTCCGTCGTTTCCTCAGGATTTACAGTTGTAACTGTTGTTGATTCTGGTTTTAATGTTGTAGCAGTCGGGGAGGTAGTTTTTGTTGATTGTGAACCACCCGTGTTTGTTGTTGCTGTTGAGACTGTTTGAGTTGTTGTTGTTGTTGTTGTTGTTGTTGTTGTTGTTCCCGTCGACTGTTCTGGTTTGGAAGCTGTCATATTCCCTATTGATTTTTATAAGGAAAGTGATTCATTGAACAGCTGATTAGAATAATTGAAGGTACCATTACTATAACTATTGGAGATTGAAAAAAATTTTGCTGAGACCATAGATTGCATTTTAGACCCGAAGGTATTTTTTACGTCAAAGCTTGGTCAGATATTTTACCACCAGTTCAATTCGTGATGAGCTTTCAAATAGAAATAGACACGCATAGCTAATTGGAAGTAGGAAGCATGCTCGAGATTTTTTGGCACTCTCAGCGAGGAAATCACGCGAAATCTCACCATAATGACATGGAGGCATGACACGGGAGTCTTACCCGATAGAAAAGTGTGATTCACTTTAGTGGGGACACATGAAAGTTTCAAACTTGGAAAGATCGTCTTGTATCAATGTGTCAGTAATCGTTTTTCTCTATATTTTTTTCGTAGAAGATTGTTTCTGTTTCAATTTCTTCTCATTTCGATAGGGGATGTATAAACTCTGATCGAAAGGTTACTTTTCATCGTTTTAGTACTATTTTATAGTATTTACTCCTGGGAATTATGTTATTTACTTGTCATGCATCATACAATTCGAACCTTCTCGAGCCTGCACTCTCTTTTATCAAAGTATAGAATGCAGCATCTTGAATTTTTTACAGCAAATGAGTTATGAATTTTTAGCGAAAGGTGCAACAATTTGTTTCAAATCTGAAAGTATTCTCACCTTTTGTTATATCACGGTCTTATCCAGTGCGATGAACAGTTTCTGAATAATATTTGCTGACTGGTTATTTTACTGGGATGTACTAAATGAACTCAATGAGACTATTTTCATCATTAGTTGGTTAGATGTATGATTTCCATTCAAACTAGGAAAACGAATTCAGAAGCTATTGTTACATTTTTCATCCCAGAAAAGTATTAAATGACTCTCGCCATCGAAACAAAACCCATCCATGAAAAGGTCGAAACTAAGGAGAGCAGATATCAAACCTAACCGACCGAAAACTAAAATTACAACTCAGCCATCTGACTTTGACTGTGTATCGCTGTTCTATCATAACATTCACTCGGTCAGAGCTGGAAATATTTCTCATCTGAAGAACGTATAAATTGGGCTTGGTCAGTTTCAACAGCTAATGCGTGCAAGGCGGCTATTTCTTTTACCCCCTCCCCAAAATTGACTAAAAAATCAGGAAACTTATTAAGGAGCTTGACAAGAGCATACCCTATTTTGGTAACGTAAGGAATCGATTAGTTTGCGACAAGTAGCAGCATGCAGATTGCTTTAGATTTTGCATGCTGTTACCTCTTCCTTTGTTTGGTGCTTTTGTTGTTTTTGTCGGGCGAGTGGTACCTACCAGGTTTAAATATTTGATAAGTTTAACTTGTTGAAAAAAGAAAAAAGGTCGCACTGACTCCTTGATAGCTACATGTATGATCGTTTTATAACATTATCATTCAGTGGTAGTGATAATGAAGGAGGTCAAACGCCATTGGTGACTTGCCTGATGTATTATTTATTAGTTTTCTATGGGCCTTGTGATAACATTCAGTGAACTTTGTCTTCTCTTGATTAGGTTAATCAAAGTTAGATCGCAAATTAAGGGTTATTCATCACAAACTCTGGGTTTTGGTTCATGCTACGCAATTCTTGATTGAAGTTTAAAGGGAAGTTGAAAGCAAAAGCCCCTTTTGTGTCGTGCACGAATTACCAGTAATCATTTCAAGAGTAAAACTTATTTTCACCCGTTTCAAGTTCTGTCATATTTAATCCAGCTGACGAAATATGGATGAGCTAGGAGAAAAAGTGAGTTGATAGCGGCAAAAAGACGATATATTCGAATTGAACAGGCTCTCAGTTGTCCGAATTTTCAAACAAGGTGTAATTGCTCAGTATTAACATTAACTTATTGCTGATGGAGCTCTCACGTAGAGTAGGTTTTAATTAATATTAATTAATATTAACTTATTGCTGATGGAGCTCTCATGTAGAGTAGGTTTTAAGGTCTCTTACCTTCTGGAATTAAGGTGACGTTAGGTCTACCTCGACAGTCTAAAAAGTAACAATAACAAATTAACAACAGGCAGGGGCAAGTCTAATGAAGACAATACGTTACGAACAAGCATGAAATGGGCCAGCAACAAATATTCTTCGTATCCTTTCATAGATCAGGTGTGATAGTGCTGTTGGCGTCTTCAATACAGGAGTTGCTTTAAATGATATTCAGGAGTGATTGAGCTGAATTGCATTTCAATTTTTCCGCGATTGAACGAGAATATGATGGATTAGTACATATTTTTAAAATGTTGAAGAGCTCCTATCATTTCCATCCCAAACAATAAATGCGCACTATTTGATCTGATTAATGTAAATGATGCTAACAATAATTCTGTTAATATATCATAATTTTTCTGTGAAGAGCCTCACTTTGAACGATGGCGTAGGTGTAAGTCGTACTGTTTACCACAAAATACTGGCACTGTGAGTTGTTTTTCGGCACAGGACCTGGGTGGCACAGAAGGAGAGTGTCAGTTGCGCAATAATCTTATGATCTGAATACTCAGCGCCTCAGAAAATTGATTCTTGAAGTCCCAATAATTCACCCAAAGCGATTGAAATGATTATTTTATCAAAAATTATCACTGAAAATATCTGCAATCGAAAAAGTAGATTGTGAACGTGAAAGTTGTAAGTTGATCTGTTTCTCAAATGTAGAGCGCAAAATACGAAGGTGCATGCGCAGGGCTCGATTCCTCGTGAGTGCTGGGGTTAAAACAAATAAAATATATCTTTTTTTCTAATATTTGAGCTTATCGTAAGAACTTATGAATGTATTTATTCATTCAGTAATTAATGGGTCAATCTAAACTTATCTGTTCATTTTTTGTTGTTATCTTGCGTTCTAGACAAAGAAAGGGAATTAGCTACTAAAGCAATGCAACAACGGTTAAAGCGATTGAAATTACTATTTTATCAAAATTTATCACTGAAAACATCTGCAATCGAAAAAACATTAAACTGAAAGTGTATTGTGAACGTTAAAAGCTGTAAGTTGATATCCTACCGGGTGGCACTGGAGTGGGTGGAAGGACGGTAGTGCTGCCATTCTCCGGCCCGCCAGTGTTTGGTGAAGTGGGTGAAGGTAGAGGAGTGGGGCTGTTACCTCCCCCTGTCAATGAAAAAAAAAAAAGAAAACAAAAAAACAGAACATTATTTACTTTATTTGCTTTCAATTCCTTTCAGCAATTGCTTTTTAAGGCTGTCTTTGAGAGAGATGATAGTTTGATTTGTGATCATAGCAAAATGCAGGAGGCTTGTCACATATGAACTGGGTACTGGCTTAGCTGCATGTTACCATTGAGTTCTCTGTTGCTCAGATGTAGAGAGAAAAATACGAAGGTGCATGCGTTGGGCTCGATCCCTCGTGAGTGCTGGGGTAAAACGAATGAAATCTATCTGTTTTCTAATATTTGAGCTTATCGTAAGAGATTATGAATGCATTTATTCATTCATTAATTAATGGGTCAATCTGAACTTATCTGTTTATTTTTTGTTGCTATCTTGCGTTCTATACAACGAAAGGGAATTAGCTACTAAAGGAATGCAACAACGGTTAAAGGACACAGATAAAAAATTATTGAGGTTTGTGCTTGTCTTCTTACTAAATGATAATATCATTTGATAATGTTACCAGTGGCAGGGGTAGTGGCAGCAGTCGTTTTCTCCACGGGAGGAGTCCCAGGGGTGGTGGGCGTTGGAGGGGACGTAGCAGAGGTATTGACTGAAGGTGTCGGGTCAGAAATAGTTCCTGAATTTTGAAATATATAACATGGTTATGTTTCCAAGATTCCAATTTTATTAAATGTTTTATTGGAAGAATATTTTTTAATAAGTTGTTGTTTTTATCTTTATCTTTCTTCTTATGGATTAAGCTTCTTCTGCTAAGAACCTTCTCTCCAAGCACCTTAGACGTGACACTCCCTAACAACCCCTCACAAGGTCACAAAATAGAAGCCAAACAGTCTCCTTACGTCCACGCTTTTATAATGCATAGTACATCTGAATCCCATTGCCCTGGATTTGGCCATGTGCTAAATATTTTGCCTTTTATATTATGCTTAGGCAGCTAATGAATCTGATTATTCCCCTTCGAACGAGATTTCTTTGATACCAAAGTGCCTATGGCTATTCCCCCACAGAGAACACATTGAAATAGAAAACGGTTGTGATTTATTTTTATCAATGTATACCTGGAGGAAAAACATTGTCTTTAAACATTGTGGGTCCCCCTCTGTTTCCACGAGGACTGTACCGAGCCACAGCTATGAAGCCGTACTTGTTGCTCTTAGCAGTTCCAATTCCAAACTGGCGGGAGTTTTTCCATACTTCCTATAATTCATTGAACGATTTGTAAAATACATAGTTCTCGTATTGGTGATGTTTTCAAACGGAGTTTTTAAATTCCAGTTTTATACAACGACAAGTTGCTGAGAACTATAAGTTAATAAAAAGTAAGCTTCTTGGAGGGAAATATCTCCGGTGAATAATTCGATAATAGCAGGGAAGGAAAGCCAAAGCTCGGCTCACAAGCCAATAATGTTTCTTGCAATATGATTATTCATAAGAAATATTTATAAATAATTCGTATAAGTTCGCTGAACTGTACGGAACGTAATCCACACCTTTACGGCAAGGTAGAATTACTCATTTTATTTCCTGAAAAGTTCTTCTCGTAAAAGGGAAAACCATGGTCTTTTCCTTTTTCATTTATTCTTCCTAATCGTAGGGTAACGAATTCGAAATTAATTCTTTGATCAACAGGTACTTACCTGTGTAAAATGCATTACCACGCCTCCGGGTGTTTTGGGTTTTCCCATTCCAAAGTCATAATTTTTGACTTCATCATACCAGCCATCAACAATCTCTCGACACTGAACGCAATCGTCCTTCTTGGGTCCTTGACATTTCGCCTTGTACGGCTTGAAGAAAGCCAGATTTTCTCCTTGGTGTTTGTTTTGCATACTGCTGTAATCGTGTTCGAAAGTTTCACTTTCAGCTAAGAAAGTTGCCCAAGCGCGAGCATCTGTTGCGAGAGCTTCCGACCAAGTGAGGTCTGGAACTCCATGTCGCCTTCTCAGTAAATTGGTCGAAATCAAACAGTTTTCGTCAAAAATATCGAGTGACGAGCCTGTAAGGCGAAATAGAGAGGAATGAGTTTCATAAATATTCCCTCAAGTCCACTACAAAAGTGTGCCCTTAACACTGAGAATTTATTTAATAACACGAATCACGTTCCTCAAACTTGTGATACGTCTTTTAAGTAACAGAAATACCTCCTGGCGTGTGTGATTTGAGGAAATTTGATGGGCAGTGGTTGATTATCTTCAAGAGCGATAAGTAGCAGTCTTTACAAACAGCCCTTTTAATTGAGACAAGAATATGTTACTATCATCATTTAGCGCACCACTCTAACACCCATTCCAAAAAATTACTAGTTTTGCCATAACTGCTACATCGAAATCCTAGCAAGGGAAAATTTATCCAAGGTCTAGAGAGTTGCACAAACATAGTTGTTGGATCTACTGACCTATGTATTTAACTTAAAAGACACTCCTAGCTTGGGTTCTCATCACTTTTATTCACGATTGATACTAACGTTTATTATAGCTTAATTAACACGGTTAAATATATTGAAAGGGAAAAGTTGTGTACCGTACCGAGGGTGAATAAAACTTGAAAAATCACAAATACAAGCATATCGTCTTGCCGATAATGATCCACTAAACCTGTTGTGAAATATAAGTGAGTTTAATTCAAACCAAAAACCAATACTCTTAGGATTGCATACCGAAATACACTTTATAGAACGCGACATCTTTGTTCTAAAGTCACTGATGGTAATTTTTTATCAACATGAATAACTTTGAAGTTGATGAAATGAAAGTACAGGATGTTTCTCGGTGGAACCTTAGCCTTCTATGAGAGCAAATATCATCGCTTTAAAATTTACGTCTCACTCTTTATATCATTTGTCCGATCCATTCTCAAAGTTACTCATAGTCCTGCCGCTCATCGTATTAAAAAACTTGCAATAACCAATAACTTGAATATTGATTCAAAACTGGCTGCAATAACGCGACTGCTGTCTTGTAAGTGATGTGCACCTAGAGTTGGGTACTTTAAATTAAATAGGGAATTTAGTATACTTCAGCTTAAAGTACAACTGGACACGAATGTACTTAGATTGAATATGATCCGTTAGGTCTTGTTCAGTTTGCATATGAAAGGTGAGAGTGTGTGAAAAAAGTTAGCACTTGAATCAATTGAGCCGTTGATAAGTTATGGAAACACTCTTATCGTAAAAATTTTACTTTAAAAGACGTTTAACCAAAGCTCGAGCAATGCAAAATTAAGTTTTTATTGAAAAATTAAATCGCAGGAGTCGAGCCTATAATCTTAAAATAAGAAATGCCTATCAGTATCTTGCCGTCTCGACAATGTAAGTTTTCTTACAATGGGATGAAAACGAAATTACGGTGACAGAGTGGTGTTAACCAGTGTTCAATATTTTGGTCGAATCTAAGAAAAAAGGTTTCACTCACCGGTCAGCCTTGCTCCAGATCAGCTAACGCAACATTTCTGGACGTAGCTTTCCTTGTGTCGAAATTTCAAGTTTTGCTTCACCTCATCACTTTCCCTTTGTTGAATGTAGTGATTGAGTTCAAACGTTATTTATTATTGAACACGGAGGTTGTCCTTCGTGTCATAAGATAAACACAGCTGCACAGGTGGATGAATGAGAAGCTTAAACGCTTGTTGAACATGTCTCTGTTCAGAATTATTGAGAACTCAGCGTTCATTGTTAAGTCTTTATGTCTAAGTAATTTGTTTTACTGTGTTTTTATACTGTGTTGCTTTACCAAAGTTTACACACGCCACGGTCAGATATATCTTTGAATTTGTTACGGGCATTGTACTTTTAACAAAGAACACTTCGACTTCATGATTCCATGATTTTTTCTTGAGCCTCGTAATGATGCTTTTACCGATTTCTCTAAGGATCATGGTATAGATTGCCGGTCAGCCTCGTTGCGGTTGCTACACTTTTGGAGCGCTGTCGGTGTCATCTGTATTTTCCACGAGCCTTTTTTTTTTTAATTCCACGGGAGTCTTGTGGTACGTTCAGTTTTTTTTATTGGATTATCCTTGGCTTCACAATGATCTTCGACTCTCGCAGTCAACTTGTATGCTATTCAGTCATGTACCTTGTACCTTAGCTCTCCCTAGGCTTCAGAATGAATTACATTTGCTTCAACATATATTTGGAACTTGGGATGTCTTCCACTTTCTTATCCTCGGAGCATTCCTTATTTTAGCTTAATTTATTGAACTGTATTGCTTTTTTAACATACAGTTTCCACCATTTTCCGAATTTCTGCTCTGAATGCTGCTTCTAGTTTAATTCATCCGCCAAGTGATTTCAAATGTCTTCCAGTGAGAGATCGAGTGGATAATTCTAGAATCGAGTCATACATTTCCCTTGACACTTGCAATATTTTCTATCTACAAAAAGCTATGATTTTGAAACTTAGACTGGGGAAAAAAAGATTTATAACACCATCCCCAACCCTTCTCTATTCAGGACTCTATGTGTAGTGTAAAATATGGTTGTGCAAGGGAATGGCGTAATGGAAAGTGCTTTCGTAGCGAGATGAAGATTTATCAACAGGAGTAATGTCAGTTATAACAAACTAATGGAGCACCTTTTTAAGCTTGCAATTTAAATTTATTCATATCAAGAGAAGGAGTCATCCATATCTTTAACATAAGCCTTCTTCACGTTATAAATTATGTGCGTAATCTTAGACAATGATTTACTACTCATTAGCTTTCATAGTAGCGTCCAACCAGTCCTCCAGCACCTGCACTTTGGAATAGACACCATAGGCGTTAGGTTGAGCACATCCCACTCCCCAGCTGACAACGCCGGTCAGATACCAACGGCCTTCATATAAACAGCTCAACGGTCCACCACTGTCTCCTTGACATGCGTCTATTCCTCCTTTGGGAAAACCTGCACAGATCATGCGCTCTGTAAGCTTCTCGTCATAGGCTTGCTTGCATGTTTCTTTGTCCACCAGCGGTATCTTTGCCATGCGCAGCATTCCTGCTAGATCTCCCCCTTGCTGTGTTCTTCCAAATCCAGTTACGTAACACTTTGATTTGCTATCAAACGTCTCGCTGCCGTCCGGCACACACACGGGTCGAATATAGGTGCTAAAATCTCGAAGTGGTTTCTCCAGTTTCACAAGGGCGATATCGTAATCCAAAGTTTGGGAATCGTACTTTGGATGCATGATGATTCTCTTCGTTTTTACAGAGATTTCTTGCTCTTCTTTACTCGCTTTGTCAAACTCACCCAGCACCACAACCAACACAGTGTTTTTATTTATGTTTAGTAAGTCGTAAACACAGTGAGATGCCGTGACGACCCATTCCTTGTTTATGAGAGATCCTCCGCAGAAGAGTATGTCATTTGCATCACGTTTGAATCCTGCTTGCCACGGCCACGCACCAGGATATGCTACTTCACCTCCAACAATACGGCTGGGTTTTCTGATTCCACAAGTCATGGAGTTCTCGTTTGGTTCAGACTCTGTCTTGGGGGCTGGTGACGAGGGTACGCCTAAATTTAGAAAAGCATTTATGAGCTTAGGTCGAAGTTTATGAAACTCGTATATTGCTGTATTTCGATTTCGTTGCGATCGTAATGTCGATTTTCACACATATTGCCTTCATATTATACACTTGCTCCTTTGGAACTACTTTTGGGCTAACTACGAGAAATCAAACAACAACCAGCTCACCTTGCGTTGGCTTTTCTCCCGATACGCTTTTTCCACTTTCTTGTGGGTTTGACCCTTGTGGAAACTCTTAAAAAAACAATTTTAAGAAAATCAAAGAACCAACTCGATAAATGGACAGGTTTATTACGAACGAACACAATGACCAGCTCCGGGTTGACTTGTTAGCTCAGTTGGTAGAGCACTGCTCCGATATCGCAGAGGTCATGGGTTCAAATCCCGTCCAGGCTAGAATTTTATTTCAGGCATATTTTCAGTACCGCATAAGTAATATTCATTACTGCGAAGATCGTTTCAAAATTCAAAATTATTTAGATAAGGAATGATTTGAACAACTTTAACATCGTCATGATACCATAAGCTTTAACTCAGAAAAATACGTTAAATACATGTACGAGAACTACACACAAACAACATTAGCAACATCAACGAAAATAACGCAAACTTAGTAATAAACGCTATGATCGCTTTTCGATTCATTGATGTCATTCCCATTCAAAACACCTAGATTGCTGTTTTGTTCAGTGAAATTCTTTCTACATACTTTTTTACTTCTCATTAACTCTAGCGCGTCCTTGCCGTAAACTGAAGTGCGTTTACTTACTCTGCACGACTTTGGTGATCTTTATTATGGTTGTTTCTGGCTTCGAATTTGCGTTTTGATCTGTTTCGTGGAAAAAGGAGCAGTTATTAACTACAAACTTTAATAGTTTGCAATTTTTCTGAATTTTTTTTCTTTTTTGCGAATTAATAGAATAAAATGCGAGAAATGGAGTTGCTCTGATAACTGCGAGTGTAAGTCAGAGTAGTAATTTTGGAAAAATACCTTTAGTTCCGGTAGGAGTGCTAAGTTTGCATGGTATTCTATTTATTTACCTGTTGTATCTAAAGAAACGTTTCCAGATTTTTGACCTAAAAGATAAAGCATACAACGCCGTTTCTTTTATCTCTGAAGCTGTTTAGCTTTAGCCATTTTATGGTTAAAATGGAATTGGACCATTAATTATTTACTCATTTATTTGCACTAAATAGCCTTTTGCCATATATTTCCACAAGTATGAAAATACTTTCTCCGTCTTTACGCATATTACAGTCATCTTAACCAAAAAGGAGCTTGGAGAGTTCCATTCAGTTGCTAAACCTGAGATGTAGCTAAGGATTTCCATAAATTTGGAGAATTCTCTCAATATGCCTAGCGTTATGTAAACACGTCAATAAAAAGTATACTATATGATAATTCTCAAAAACTACGCACAACCCTCATACGTCACCAAAGTCTTTATATTCCTTCATCTTTGCACACTCATCGATCAATAAGATGTAATATCTCGATCATTCTAACTTTATTCAGCTCACCTGGAGGATCGACGTTCTGTAGAAAAGAGACAGTTCCACCTGTACTCCCCATGGGACTATACCGTGCAACTACTATCAAGCCATGTTCATTACTACGAGCACTCCCCATCCCTAGTTCTGTTGTAGACTTCCATACAATCTGTGTTTAAGGGTATTACGAACAAGTGAACAGAAAATTCGTTTTTATTTAGACGGGCCGCACAACGTAACAAGTACGTGGCACAAAAAGTGTGATCAAATCTGAGGATAACGCCAATTGCATTAGTTTCACTTTTAGCGGATTATGGTACATTTCGGCAAAGCAAGGGAAAAAGCTTTAGATGACGTCAACCGCGCGTCTGAGCTCTGACAAATCATGTACCATGACCAATCGAATTGCAAGCAGTGTGTTGCAGCATAAAAGTTCCCTAAGCTAAGTTTCTACTAATGTAAACTAAGGACCGAGAGTTAAGGGAAAGAGATGCAAAAAGCTTTCTTTCCCACGAATTATCAGTCGAACTGAATTTCATTCTACCGTACTTTGCCTTTAGCTTGGATGATTAATTTTACTTTTTTACTACCTGATTGAAGTGACGGATAGGTTGACCTGGATCAATCGCAGCACCTTTCTGAAAGTCGTAATTTTTCTCCTCGCTGTACCACTTTTTAACAATGTCTCCGCAGCTTACACAGCCAGACTTTCTAGGTCCTTCACACTTTTCAGTTGTCAAAGTCATCCAAGCAATGTTTTCTCCTTGACCCTTGGTAATAAGATCCTGGTAATCATGTTCCGCACGGTCCTTGTTCGCCAAGTTTTCAGCCCATCTCTGGGCATCCCCGGCTAAAGACTCCGACCAGCAAAGCGCAGAAGCATTGTGGAGTGCTCTCAATTGATTATGCACACGGACACATTCTTTGTCGAATTCATCATACGCGAGCCCTAAAAAGGGATTTGAAATTCAAAGCAATTTACTATCTCTGAAAAAGAAATAATTTGCCAATGATACTTTTAACACATTTAGATTAGCTATAGCCTAAAAATTTCTTCTCTTGATCACCAGGAATCAGTCAATCTATAACATATCGAGTTCACCTCTTAAGTTAAACAGATTGCAATTTTTAAACTCTATTTCAATTGATTTGTTCCTTTAAAGTACGAAGTGATGTGTGCACGATTCTTACCTTTCGCAGTGAGATTGATCACTAGGAGGGCGATGTTAAGGCAACCAAAGCTTGTTAGGCAAATCTCCTAAATGAAAAGAGCGTTGATAAGAAATGTTTAGTTATTAAATGGATTAAACTAAATTCTAATTTCGCTGTAATCAGTACCCCCTAGTTAATATATTATACCTTGTTGCCTCGGCTGCTTCCTTGACGGATTTATTGTTACTTAAAGTTGTTCTTTCTCAAATCTCATGACTAGCTAAAAACTGCAACAGAAACGTTTCTGTACCAAAAACAATTTAACTTGTGTTCGTTCTCAAGACATCTTGCTATTGTTAAATGGAACGATTTCTCATTGCACCACTTTCACAAAGAAGAAAAGAACGACTATTTATGTCGTAAACCTGCTACTGATATCTTCAGGTCCTTTAGATAACTATATTCATAAGTGTACATTTGGCTGTTGCAAAGTAAACCAAATTAACTTCTATAGGTATCACTGACACTAAACTTTCCCGAAGACCCCAAAATAGATCACCTGCAGTAGTAGATGCATAGTTCTTGTGCCTTTCTACCGTACTAGATACTATCTGTTGGCTTGTGTTGTGCGTTTTTGTCCACCCTCTCTTGCTGGTGGCCCTACAGTTTGGGTGTGGCCCGTAAAGTCCTTTCATAAAAGATAGAAAACTCCGCAGTTGTGTCGGCGATTAAGACATTCTAAGAATATTTTCAAAAATATCATATTACTTTTGATTTCCTCTAAGTACCCAGCAACTGCTAAGAGAAGTCAGGATATGTCTCTCAAGAGTAGATATTCAAGAACAACAGCAGAACAACTGAGACAGTTGAAGGTCTTTTGTCTCTTTTAAAGGTTCATCTTCTTCATTGACGGAACTTTTTGTTACTTATGAAATCAAAGCTATCAAACTTCTAGTAAGCCTCACTGTGTACGCAAGATGTGACTCATTGTCCATGTATTTGGTGCATATCATCAAATCTCGAATTATCTTACTCGGTTCTTTTTTTTTTTTAATTTACGTTAAGCTTAAGGGTATGAATGTATTTTTCTCCACTCTCTCTTTCAAGTCTTGTGCCTACCCTTTACTTTATATGTGATGAATTTCTCTCGTAAAAAGAAACATTTTTGCCCTTGGTTTCTCGCAAGAACCACCATTAACACTTCAAGGTTATATTAGTATCTTCATTCACTCTCCGTTTTTCTTCTGATACAAATTATTTTGACTCCAAGCATAAAGAATTGGAAAGTAGTTTCTTTCTGGATATAAGATTTTGGATAATCATTCAAATGACAGTTCAGTGTGGCTGTCATTTTTGTTCAATAGGGTGAACCTAAAGGCTCGGGAAAACAACACATCACTGACTGTTTTTAAAGTCATTTCTCGGGATTCTTCGCCTGGCACCTCAGGGACTGGAATCTCAAGCACACCGAAACTGTAAGGGATGATTGCTTGTTGTTTACTTTGTTCACCTTTGGCTAATGAAGAGGAGCAAAAGATTTATCGAATGATATTCAGTTTTATTCGGTTCTTCCTTCAGGCAAAATAAATTATAAAATTTTCCTTAACTTATTCAAATCAACTCAGGTTGATGTCCTCCATCTCGTTGTTTATGATATTGCGAATCCACGGTAAGAAAGCCTTTACGTTCGAATAGACACCATAAGCACCAGGCCTCGCACAACCAACTCCCCAGCTTACGATTCCTTTTAGAAACCACTTGCCGTGGTTCATGCAAACCAGAGGTCCTCCGCTGTCTCCTTGACACGCATCAATGCCTCCTTTAGTATAGCCTGCACAGAACATTCTGGGTGTGATTTTTTTACTTTTGTACGCTGCTTGACAAGTCTCTTGTTTTACGATTGGTACGTTCGCTTCTTGCAGTTTAGCTGACACTTCTCCTCCCTGCTCAGTGACTCCAAACCCTGTGACGAAACAGTTAGTTCCAGGGCCGAAGTCAACCTTCTCGTCCAGAAGACAGACAGGTCTTACGATCTCCGATAACTTCGCGGGATTTTTAAGCTTAAGTAACGCAACATCGTAATCTAAAGTTTCTGGGTCATATTGACCATGTAGGAAGAGCTTTGTGACGTTTTCATTCACTTCCTCTGGGTCCCTTTTTTCCTGATTGAACTCTCCCAACGCTACCTCAATGTGGGGTATCTTTCCCGGTTGGGAGTATTTGGATATTTCGTACAGACAGTGAGAAGCAGTCAATACCCACTGAGGATCAATCAGCGAGCCACCACAGAATATTTTTTTCATTGCAGATCGCTTCAGTCCAGCCTGCCATGGCCACTGACCTCTCTTAGATTCCATTCCCCCGACGATATAACTCGGTTGAAGTTGCCAAGCAGGAGCAGATGTGTTGCCTGTGTCACAAAAAAACATAAGTTGAAAACAGGGCATGCAGCATTGGTTTTCATTTTTGGTGCTTTTAGTTATGAGTGATCTCTAAAACTCACGTCACCCACTTAGCCGATCAGATGCACAACTTGAACGACTTGGTCAGTCAGCGGTCAGTCAGGTTATTCCGCACATTAGGTATCTCACTTGTTTTACTTGGTGTCACTTTTCTCAACTTCATCTTTTGATATTTTCTTTTGGTCGAAAGGGGCGTTAAGTTATTCCGATTTTGTGTTACCACTATTTGAAAAACGCTCTAGTTTTTTCCTGGCAATTGGTTTTAATTCAACAGTCTTCTTACGTTTTGTAGGGTCGTTTCAGTGCACGTGTAACTGCCATAACGCTCCTCCAGGTAGGAGGAGCGTTATGGCAGAGCTGCGACAGAAAGTATGTTTCAGCTTACCTTGACTGCATGGTGCAGGAACTGGGGGCATCGGTGGCCAAGGGACGTGAGGAGGTGTCCCGTTGCAAGCTCAGAAAGAGGGAGCGAAATGACCAAAATTAAAGAAGTTCAGCACAATTACTACTTAACGCCAAGAGTTATAGTGACTTCATATACTTCTATACCTTTTCTGTGCTTCGCAGTTATGCTATGACGATGATCAGAAAATTCCCTATGATATTGAGACACTTGTTTGATACCCGATTCTCTCATACAATAGCTAACATCCATATAATTTATAGAAGTTGTAGCGACACTTAAAGGCATGAGTTGCAGATTGCTATTAGCGGCCTAAAGTTGAAAATAACGATTGAAAAAAGAAACGATGGAAACAGAAACAATACAATCACACAACTTAAAAGACAAAAAGTTAAACCCTACCTCCAATAATGAAAAGCTTTTCTTGTCTAATGAGGTCAATTGCCTTGTAAGAACATTGCACATGTTGATTTGTAGTGTTGGTTAAAGTTATGTTATTTTCACCAGCACCTTAAAACATGAATCAAAGCATGAGTGTTAAAAGTTTTAAAGAACTGCAAGCTACATCTGCCGTTTTCGTTTAAATGATAGATAACGAAATGGATCGGCAGTTGAAAGCCAGATGAACAAAGAGAACTGATAAACAAATCCGATGAAGTGGTAGACTACCCCCAAAACACGATATTTGCGGTCATACGCTTGACGAGAATGAAATGATTTATTTTTTAGTAGAAGGTTTATCGGAAAGGAATTCAAAATAGATTTTAAAACAGTTGACTTACCTGAGACGGTGTTTAGACAAACACAAAGAGAACAAAAGATCACAAAGGCCAACATCATAGAAGTGAACATTGTCACCCGGAATCTTTCTTACGCTAGTATATTTTCTCACATTTTATCCCACTGGGGGCGTGTTTTTTTTCTCGGTGGAACGACATCATATAGCAGGTCATTTTAGCAAACTTTCAACGTGAAACATGATGGTATACAAATTCAAAAGTACAGGAGAGGTAACCAATTTTTTAAAAGTTGAGACCGAGTGGTATCGATTTTTTACGATTTTGAAGCAGTTTATTGTTGAGCAATAAAATAAAATTCTAAGTAAATGTTCTTGTCACGTCTAGCCCATATAGTGACACTTAATAACGCGAATTTTGCTTTGACATTCCAATGGTAAATTTGGCAAATAAAACGTAGAAAAATTGTCTGATGAAAAAAGACTTAATTGACACAACGAAACAACTACGGTAATCACTCTGATGATCGGTTTTTCGACTTATGTGAACTAATTTTAAAAAGATGAGCAATGGCATGTAAGGTTTCGTGAGAATGTATCTCTGTTAAAATCATGAAAATTTAACTGATGCCATTATTATTTTTCACATGATTACGGCGCGATGCTTATCTTTTTAACACTATGTCAGAACCCATTAACAGTGCGAAAAATTGTCACAAAGATGAGGTTCAGTGTTCAGGTTCGTCTCCTGAAAGATCCGTTATTTTCCGTATCCACTTCATTGCCTTTTTGACATTCGCATAAACTCCATAGCTTCCTGGGACAGCACAACCTCGTCCCCAGCTCACCAGCCCTTTTAAATACCAATTACTACCATCCTTACAGACCAACGGTCCTCCCCCGTCCCCCTGACAAGCATCAGCGCCGCCTTCCTCAAAACCTGCGCAGAACATTCTTGCTGTTATGGTGCGATCCTGATAAGCGTTCTTACATGCATCATCACTTGCAATTGGTACTTGAACGGTTATCAGTTTCGCAAAAGAGTTATTCCCGGGTTTTGGCGCTCCGTACCCGGACACAAAGCAGACCGTCCCTGACTCAAAGTCTAATTCGTCACTTGGCAACTTGACTGGACGGATGTACATCAATGGACCTTGCTCTACAGGATCTGCAAGCCGTAAGAGCGCATAGTCATAGTCCTGAGTGTCAGGGTCGTACTTATTGTGAAGGAACACCTCAGTCACGTTCGTGGCGACTCCGTCTTTGTTCCGAAGGTCTTTTTCACCTATGATTACCTCAATCAGTGAGGTTGGCATGAAGTCCCTCATAGCAAAAACACAGTGTCCAGCAGTAAGAACCCAAGAACTACCAATAAGTACGCCGCAACAAAACAAATTTGGCTCATTTGGTCGTCTAAGTCCTGCTTGCCATGTCCAGCTCTCGGGGATCCCTTGACTCACAGCCTCCATAAGAGCTGACTCCTGCATATACAATAGTTGGTCGATATGACTAACTGAAGAGAAAAATTGCATCCTTCGCACTCAGTACAATGTATGAAGGTTAAAATCCCCTTTTGTCGTTGAGAAAGCGGTGTAAAAGGTGTTTAAGGTAGTCGAGCGGGAGATTTAGACCCAGTAAGAAACTAACGATGGGACTGAGCACGCACAATTGGTCTGAGGCACTCATACGCTATAACGAGTGCAGATGTACGGTTTTACGTCATCTAATTTTTGTCGATTTTATTATAGTTCGTGCTCTTCAAATACGGAAACACTTCAGCATCGTTTAAGCTACGTTGTACACTTGCAGTCAAGTTGTTTTCTAAAGATTTCGATACAATGGCCCATGGATAAATACTATTTTTGTTTCATATGATGATGTCAATTACTTCAACACTAAGATATTTTAGGTAGTAAACAAAATCACTCCCAGCGTGGATAATTACCTGATCTTACTGAAATAATGAATGACAAGAAAAGCAGGACTGCATGATCCATTTTGGGAAGCTGCGACATTTTTTGGGTCACAGAACATTATATCCTTACAACCAACAAAAGTAACAGGTCAGGTGTCAAGGTAACACGCTGTTAGCCGGTTGAAACAACGCCTACAAGCAAATTCACTTTGAGTTTGACCTCATGTTTCTGATAAATAAAAATATATATGTCGCATGCATTTCAGGGAGTTGTTTCTAACCCTAACCCTTGGATAAATTTACTTGTAAACTACTCCACATGTACTTTAATCCATTGGAGAATACGCAGCTGTAACTCTGAATTTATTCCACGAGGAAAGCGATTTTATATGTTTCAATCACAATTTTACATTCACTTGCAAAAATTTGTATCAATTCAATTGCTATAAATTTAACTTTTCAATCATGCCACTTGTTCCGTAAGTACAACACATATAAAGCTTTGTCCCTTAAATGTTCGCGCAAATGTTGTGATAATTGTAAATTTTAAGGTTAAAACGTATTTATTTTTCTCTGGTAGGTCTCAGTCTTTTACAAGCGGGTGGCTATATTTAGTCTACTCAAAGCGCCACCATGGTCATGGTCTAATAAATTCTTAATTATCAAACATGGCGGCCAATTTGTTTTAACCAAGAATTAAATTTGGAACCGAAGAAAAACTATCCTTCAGGTAAATGATATGAGTAAAGTAACTAGTTTTTGAAATAAATTTAGTACGTTCTGTGATTCGGGTAATATTTCGCTAATTTACTCAGCAAATAATGTTACTCCTTCTCAGTAAGAGTAGATCGAAACAGCTAAAATTAGATCTATAATACATATACAGTGTAGGTCTATAGGTCTGTAGGTCAGTTAGTAATCTATATACAGAGTAGGTCTATGGTCTGTAGGTCAGTTAGTAATCTATATACAGTATAGGTCTATAGGTCTGTAGGTCAGTTGGTAATCTATATACAGTGTAGGTCTATAGGTCTGTAGGTCAGTTAGTAATCTATATACAGTGTGGGTATCGTCATACATCTAAAGATTGTTTGTGTAGGGTATTAATTGACATCAAATATTTTTCAATTGCTTCACGGTAATAAGAAAAAAAAAGATGTAGAGCATATCAAACTGATTTATTAAACACCAGTCACCCCAAGAAAGAAACAGAGCTCGCCAAATAACTGAGTTTCGATAAAATAATCTATTTCTCTTTAGAGTTGAAGATGTGAAAAGCGTATAATCCTATTGATGGAGCTCTTTTATTTTCTACTTTTCGTCTCCTGTTCATTGTTCGACAAAGGTAAGCGCAATGATTTCAAAATGTGATTAAGTTAATTAATTTTCGTTGAAACCGCCCCTTGTTCCCCTTGTTTAGATAAGGCTCTAACGCACTGATGTGACCAATTTAACGGCGATTGAACGCAAGCGATAAGCTGGCTTTGGTTTAACCTAAGCAAATCAAAAACTTCGTGTGTAGTATGAACAACTTCGATTTAATTTAACGTGAACTGAGAGTCTCCAACCCTTTTTAATTTAGCTTCCAAACTTCGGTCTTTCCTTTGAACTGCAGATGATTTCAGTTTGAAGAAAACCGAAAATACCAGACGAAAATGTTTAACTATGATTTATTATACAAATGGCGACTAGCAGAAATAGAAATCAAAGAAAACTGATTAAAAGAAAATGAAATATGCAAGTGCAAATCACTGTGGTCAATAACTTTGCTGGCATCATTAACATGAAAGCGTCAGAAACCACTAACACAGTCACGAAATTTAAATATCAAACTGACATAAAACCATGATCATTCTTCAGAATCCCTTTGCTTAAGATCGCTTGTCACCAGTAGTTTTGCTACAAGAGTAGCTGACAAATGTGAATGGCAAAAGCCACTTTCTCGAGAATCGGCTTTCTGTGCTCGAGAAAGAATCGGTCGCACCACGTCCACCGTCAAGTGAATTTATGATCAATTGTGCTGAAATTGACGTCCTTTCCTTGCAAAATTACCACAATGTTTGGGGACCTGTATTTTTTAAGCTCCAATTGTCAAAAGAAAAAAGCTTGAATGTTATCTGCCTGTACTGTCGTTAACTTTTCGGTGGCACGTTTTGTTAGAGCTCAGGTTTTTTTTATACATGATCAGTCTTGTCGAATTGACTAGTAGATACCTCTCTTAAACATTTCGCTGAGTGATATGTTCCAATGGTTTCGACAACGAGAGTCGAGTGCTACCATTTATGTCCCAGGTCTTCCTTATGACTTGTTCGACCGCGACTGTGTAACTGAACACAACAAGCTGAGAAAGCTTCATGGTTCCCAGCCCCTCTCGTGGTCTGAGTCTCTTGCTGTGGATGCACAGAAGTGGGCGGAGTATCTTGCAATAAATGACAAGATCGAACACGATGGCGACACTTTGGTAGAGAAAGACGAGGGTGAGAACATAGCCTGGTTTGTGCCACCTCAACCGAAATGCCAAGGATCCTTGAAACCTAATTGTTTCACGTGTAGCGAGGTAGTGCAGAACTGGTACGACGAGTCAGGGAACTATAATTACCAAATGGGAATCGCAAAGAAGCCTGATTTGCCGATCAAACACTTTGCACAGGTTAGAGAGATTTCTTCGTGTAAATATATACCCCTACTTAACTGTGTTTAACTTTATGCCTTGAACTTGTTTAAAGCAATACCGCTGGGCGGAGTTGTGTAATCCAAATATAACCGTCATAGTCGGGCGAGTACGCTTCTATACGATATGGCCCTCGAATTGGTAGATTACTAGACAGGAACTGCACAAGCAAGAGTACAGGAAAATACAGAGTAAGTAAAATATATAGGACATTTGATTAAAAGTTAAAGCATAAGACATTCTTCCTTTACAGGTTGTGTGGAATGCCTCAATGGAGATAGGAGTTGGAAGTGCAATCTCTAAAACTTATGGTTTTATATCAGTGGCTCGATATTCTCCCAAGGGTGGAGAGGGTGGACCGCAAGCCTTCATCAAAAATGTTTTTCCTAAAGGTATTGATCATTATCATAGGCAACTATTTTGAGCAACACCCAAGTGGCTTTTTAGCTCTGTTGCGAAATCAGCTCTACAAGAAACGAAAGTATGGAAAATATAACACCAGCGTGATAAACAACAATGAGAAGTGGCAGCTGTGCAAGTTGAAAAAATTTGCCCCCTTCGCATCTAATATCTGGCTTGCCCCGATAATTTTGATGTTCTTCCATTCCGTTTTTGTCCTATCTTTTGTGCGTGATTTAGAAGAGGTATCAATTCCTTTCAGTACACTCTTGAGCATTTCTGCCAAACATACATTCGAAAATTTAACGAAACGAGCACTTCAGTCTACAAAGATTTTTCATCAATAACTTTAGCACCTTCCACTAGAATCAGCAGGCAACAGCACCACCAGGAACTCGTTATCATTATAAACTATTACTACCCTTTCAAAAATTTGAGTTAAACTTTTCTTTACACATAATAAGTCTGGCTATTTCATAGTGGTCCTTCGGATTACAACGGCTGAAACAAGTTTTGTCTAATGATTTTAAAAACAGGCGCAGCACCCTTTTTAAGAGAAAGCGATTTGACATCTCCATCTTCAACGCCAAAGCCGACCATGTCAGGTACGTTTTCTGACATACTGCGGACTTCTATTCTTAAGTATTATGCAACGAGCTGAAGCATTTATCAACCCTGACTGTCACATGTCTTGTAATTTGCATCGTAGTGTTAATGGTTAACTGGTACCGGAAACGAGAGTGAGAATAAGAGAATTATGAAATACAATCGTGTAACTATCAAAGTCAACCATTCAAACACTGAAATTGTCAATAATTTTCATCCTTCCCTGGTTTCAGAAGAGTGTATCGACCTCCATCTTTAACTCAAGAACAGATATCAAGACCCCTGTAACATTTTTTTGCAGAGGAGACCAATCTTCCTTCTTGGTGTCGATCTCTATAATTTTGTTGTTGCCGGGCGCGTGATGAAAGAGTGTTTATTAAAAAGAGTGCCCAAAAGATTTATGATTTTCTTGGCATGACTCCATGCTTATTGTACCTTTGTTTTTCCTATTTCTTGAGGGGGTACAGGAAACACAGCCTTCCAAAATGAAAGCTCGCCTCTTGATAGCGATCAAGGTACGATACACAGTTTAACATGCGTATAACCAGCCTTACAAAGATTGTATGAATAAGCCATAAAGTTTTTGACAGGTAATTTTTGTTAGTAGAGTTAATTAACGTAAAAAGATACACACAAATACATGTATTACAAGATGGCCGATTCTGTGATACTAATTTATGTTGAAATATAAAAAAGAATTTTCATTCACTTTACTCAAACGCTTTCAGAATTGACAAATCAGGAGTTAGAACAAAAACCTATGGAAGATATTACCTGTGGAATTGTCAAAAGGAGAGGGCCAACAGGTAATGAAGCTATTAAGCCAGGAGAATTCCCTTGGCAAGTGGGCTTCAGATATCAGAACCAACTGGGCAAGTCAAACCTGTTTTGTCGCGGATCCTTATTGGATAGAGAGTGGATTTTGACAGCTGCGCATTGCTTTGTAGTTCGTGTAAATCCAAAGTTTAAGTTGAAAGTCCTCCTTGGTGAATTTGATGCTCAGAACGAAGATGGTCGAGAGGTCGTTGCGGAGGCTTCCAAAGTGATTAGACATCCTCTGCATAGAAAGAACACTAAAGATTATAACATTGCGCTCGTCAAGTTAAAAACGCCTCTTAAAGACTTTAATGACTATATGAGGCCGATTTGTTTACCGGATCAAACAGTGTCGTTTTCAGGTGGCGAAATTTGTACTGTGACTGGTTCAGGACTAGATTACTCTTTGGAAAATGCTGAAAATACGCTTCGAGCAGTCGATGTTCCCATTCTAACTCCTGAAGAATGTCGAACGAGCGTCCGTTGGTTAACAGACAGAATGTTATGTTCAGGATACACGGAAAGGGTTCTGGACACATGTAAAGGCGATAGTGGTGGACCTCTCGCATGCTACAATAAGGGAAAGTTTTACTTGGGGGGAATTGTCAGTCACGGTAAAAGATGTTCCAGGGCTCGCTCGCCAAACATTTATACAAATGTGAAATATCTCAAGCCCTGGATTATTCACATAACGAAAACATATTAGGGTTTGAATTTTTATATAACATACTTACAACTCAACGAATATGTGAAATTCATATATCTGAATTGCGGTTATAGAAACGTATTTGTGTACGATCCTCGCAGTAAAGAGCACTATTTAAGTAATAGTGAAAATCAGACCTGAAAAAAGTCAGGCCGGTACGGGATTCGAACCACTGACCTCAGCACTGACTAGACCTACAGCACTAACCTACAGCACTGACTATTTTCAACGACTGACTCTGGAAAGCTGGTTTACTAACTTAGAACAGACTCCCCTAAACAGATGTCAACAACTACCCGCTCCATACAAACGACTCATTCACGACATAAACATCACAAACGACCGAAAAAGAACGACCTAACTTTACCGACAGATCGAAACAGACCAATCACGACCGACTTACGTCACTTGAGTCTTACAGCCAATAACATCACGGCAAAACCAACCGATCATTTCACACGAACTGGAATAAGAACATTCTACTGACAACAATCATTCACTTGACTCTGATGATGACTTCCGCACAGGTTGTCGAAACGTCAGTCACTACCACCGACAACAGTCCTTCTCAGGACTACACTCACCCGGACGATCAGACTACACCTTCACATGTTACCCCCGGGTTCAAACCATTTACTGCATTAAATAAATAATGAAAACTAAACAAATTTGCTGACATTATTTCAAATACTTGAAACATCTTAATTGCAAACATTTTGAGGCGGTTTTTTTAATAAGAATTTATCGTATTTGGTTACCTGAAGCTCCTTCTTGCTCACACAGTCCTGCTTTCGATATTTGTGAAAATTAAAAGAGTTAAAGAGGAAAAATCAATAAAGAAAGTGATCTGCCTAATAACGCAAAGGATATCTTTTATACAACAATGGTGCACTAAGAACAAGTTATCATAAGGGCCAAAATGTTTTCTTATTCAGCGCTCCGGCTCGCCCTTGAGCTGTAATGGAATGCTCATCAGCTGAATGCTCAAGATGCACGTAGCAGAAATTTAACATGCGAAAACTTTCTTTAGTTCGTTATTCCGACGACGGAGTCTAAACTTTTCTGGAAACTATTTCAAACAACTAAAGCTTTTTTTTCGTTTTTTTTTTTGCTCTTGATTAATTTTTCTATAATGGTTGGGGTCTTGAGAAGGAATGGAAGGAGAAAAAAGGAATAGATGTTCTGTGGATGCCTCCCTCCATGTTATCGCGTTGCTTGTCCAAACAAATTTGTTAACATTATTTTAAACAATTAAGACACCTTCATTTTGAACTGCGCAAGGTTTAAAAAGAGAAGACTAGTTCCTTAATGAACTCTACGAGAGTGGTCATCGCTGGGAAAGAACTTGAGCCGATGAAAATTTTCAGGTGTATATTAATTGGGTTGAGGAAGCGGTTTTTTTTTCTCATAAGAATTTATCATATTTCGATGTCTGTGAAAATTAAAAGAATTAAAGAGGAAAAATCAGTAAAGGAAGTGATCCGCATAATAACGTAAAGGATATCTTTATACAACAGTGGCGGAGTGAGAACAAGTAATCATAAGGGCCACAATATTTTCTTGTCCAGACCTCGTCCTTGATCTGTGACGGAATGCTCCTTAGCTCAATGCTCAAGATGCATGAAGCAGAAATTATACAGGCCCATACTTTCTTTATTTCCTTATTCCGACGACGGAGTCTAAACTTTTTTTTCATGGATTGAAAAGCTTTCTTTCTCTTGGTTCATTTTCCTATCGTGGGTGTGGTCATGTGACAGAATAGGATAAGAAGGAATAAATGGATGCTTGTGGATGCCTCCCTTCATGGTACCACGTTGCTTGTCCTTTGCAAGAGGAATTAAGTAATTGCTTTGTGTTTGTAGAAATTTTCCAAAGTGCTGTTTCTTAGGTTGAATGCTCAATCTAAGGACAATTTAAGAGTGTGAGGTTGAAAAAAGGGAAAACGAAAGATATCCTCACTGCTTTTTACTATGGCTCCAAAATGCTCATGTGATTTTTTAGTTTAAAACCTCATAACTCGTGAATTCCTGAGAGAAGAATATATTTATCAACATTGTGTAACAAGTGATGCGTTCTTCAGAGTAACTAAGATCGTAAGGATTGTGTAAACCTAACATTAAAACTTTTTTTTATTTCTGGATCATAATAACGAGAGATATCGTTTCCTAAATACGCCACGTCGCGAAATTTGAGTTTTTTAGAACGATCAAAATTTCCTCCAAAATTTCCTCAAATTTTCCTCCTCCTTTTGTTAGGGGAAAGATTTGTCCTTGGATTGAAAAGGACAAACTTGAGTTTTTAAGAAGCTTCAACCGTATTACTAAAGTTCCCTTAACTTTTGCACAGCCCGCGTTCCTTTAGATAGGAGGAGAAATAAACACATGGTTTTCAATTTTCATGAAGCCGGAAAATGTCCTGAGTTCACCTGCAACTTCATTATTGAAGATATGGGAGTGTCCTTTCTTGAGGAGCGTGCAGTTTTACCTTGTAATACCAGTTGTTCTTTCACACTAAGACCTCGCCAAATCAGGTAATGATTGCCGGTTGTTTCCTATAAATGCAACTTCAAGCCTGAGAAGATCACAAAATCAACTAGAAGGTTGGAAGGAAAAGAGGAGAACTGAAAAGGTGTTCGACATTCGACATGCACCTACTTCATTTATTTGCATTTATATTCTGTGCCTCTCTTCTTTGTGCAGGTAAGTTACTTGGATCTAAAAGCTGTTTTAGATATATTAAATATTACAAATTTTCTATTGCATTCGAATTATATCTTACAGAAGCGCAAAAGGGCAAAAGTCATATCCTGACATTTCAGAATTTTATTTTATTTTTGGAATTGCACTTGTGTCGTTCAAACCTCAATTAATTTACAATTCTCTGCCAATGTCCTAAAGTTTGGGACTGGCTTCCTGTAGAACTCACTCGTCCTTCAAGTCTTCTTAGCTTTAAGGTGAAGATGCGAGAGTATTAACCAATTTTAAAGAAACTACTGATTTGGCCAAGCCGCACATTCACAACACTTGTTTGTTTTGTAATATTTTTTTCGGTCGGGTGACAGTATTGTTACATAAATACTGATTTGAAACGGATAAGAAATGAAATTTGAAGTGCGAAAGTGCTTCCAGGGTTTTCAAATTGAAACGCTTTCGTCCGCGATTGGAAAACAAGATGCTTTGATTTAATTATTTAGATGTTGGAAAATTTTACAACAACAAAATTACCTGTGGTTTTTGTATCATCTTAAGATTACTGCATCAGCAGCCAATTTTTCTTTTTTTTTTTTTAAGGGGTCAGCAGTTATGATGACTTTGGCAAAACTTGTGTTTTGTCTCACAATGGTCTCAGAAAACTTCACGGGGCGCAGCCTGTCGCTTGGTCAGAAGAGTTAGCCGAGGAAGCCACGAAATGGTGCGAAAAACTCGCCATGCAGGACGAACTAGAAAACGACAACAGAACAATGGACTCAAAAAACCGGGGAGAAAATATTGCTGCGACGTCTGACACTAGTTCTAAAAGTGGAGGTCCAAGTCCTGAACTGTGTGCTAGGGCTGTCGATGAGTGGTACTCGGAAATAGTAAACTACAATTATGAGACAGGATTGCCTAAATCCCCGGGACTGCCTATCAAGCATTTTGCTCAGGTAATCGCCAATAATTTCCTATCTGTATGCACCACAGTATGTCGTCCAAAGTGAATACTCTTGTCTCTTGGTATCAGTTCAGCTCTCATAAAATGTCTTCAATTTATCAGTATGAATGTGATCATGTCAACGGCTCCTAAAAGCTCATTGCTACATTCACCTTACAAGTTGGGGAGCCCCTGATCCTGTGTTAGGAGTCACCGTAGACAGTATTGTGAGCATTTTTATGCTTTAAAAAAAATTATAAGATGGATTTGTTCGACATGTGTTCTTAAAGCGGAAGTTGTGATAGGTGGCAGATTTTTAAATGTATTCAGTATATTTTTAAGGCAAACGAAGCTCCTTTTTCATGTAATATTCATATGTATAAATCCAATCCGTGTTTTTAAAAGACTCCAATGGGATTCGCGTGTTAGCAATATTTTTTTCATTTTATATTCATTACTTCATTGACTAAAGATTGTCTGGAACAGTACATTTGAAATTGGTGCTGGAACTGCTCGATCCTCAGCTCATGGTGACATTGTCTGCGTTCGCTACAGTCCGCGAGGAGCTGAAGGAGACCCTGATACGTTTAAAGCAAATGTCTTTCCTGCAGAGGGTAGGTTGAAATACTGTAATTAACACCTGTAGTTATTGTGACGATGGCTGGAGGTTTATTAGTTACTTCAACAAAATATATCGTGAGTCACGAAAGCTTAAATGTTCCATATGGTTGCCACGAAAGCTACAATAGCCAGAGACGTTCCGGCAAAAAAAAAATTGCTTCACAGGTTTAGGAAACCCTTTATTCAAACCATTATGGAATAGATCAAACTTTTACATAATAGGACAAATTAAGGGAAAAAAAAGAGAGATTATTATCTTCTCATGTGTAATAATAGTAATAATAGTAATGATAAATGATACTAATAATTCTCTACTACTACTACTACTACTACTACTACTACTACTACTAATAATAATAATAATAATACTAAAAATATTTTAATATTAAAATAACCTGTTCAAGAACGAGGATCCAACCATAGAGCTGATGCGCCAGTTTCAAGAGCGCTCAGTAAAAAATAGGACATAGTTCTAATGTCAAGGAGGCTTTCAAGTATGGGAAAGAGCTTGGAATATCGCTAAATTTGGTGCACCCTAACCCTCCATGCTGCACTGAGAATGGAGATGAGATCCCAGGTACAAAGATCAATTAAGAGCAGTTGAAGTGAGCTCAGCAAGAAAAGCTGAAGGAGGACGTGTGAAGTCAGATTTGGCAAAAGAAGCTGATCGCCTCGAGATGAAGTGATTGAGCTGAGTAACGGATGTTTTGACTGGCTTAGTAAGTGAAAGTCCTGTCCAACATGTGATTGCCGCAGCAGATGCTCAGTACACGAATCTATCAGAGTAAAAAGGCAAGAACTGCTACGGCGCGTGACGTGCAACGCAGACTCTGCGGCAAAGCGCAGGAGTCGGTAGCACATATTCTGACTAGCTGCTCTGCGCCTGCGCAGAGCAAATATCTCCACAGGCATGAAGATTCTGTTCTTTGAGATGCTCCATGATGTAGAACTCGTAGACACTGTACCACCTTGGTGCTCCCCGATCGAGCCAAAACTTCTCCACGAAAGTGCAGATGCAGAAGCCTTTTGGGGTGTTCCGCTGTACGCAGACCACGTGGTAGTGAGAGCCAACCGGATAGACGCTAGGGTTGTGAACCACTAGCAGAAGATTGTCACCATCCTAGGGATGAGTTGTCCATGGGTAGACAGCAGAGCTGCGAAAAATTAGGATAAGACAAAGAAGTATGCCCCTTTTCGGCTGGAACTAAAACAACATAGGATACCGCATAGACCAGCACAACATCACCCTAAATGTACTGGGAAGATACTCCAAAGGACTCGAGAGAACTGTTAGGTTTTAGTGGGAAGAAAGAGTAAAGAAGTCTTGGTGAAGACGCAGAAGTCGGTATTAGCTTCAAGTTTACACAATGCCTCTCCAAAATAATGACATAAGATAAGACACTTGTAGAGCATTTTCTAAGTATTTTAATATGATATCTCAGATAAGTAGATTTGAAAGGTTTTTTCGAAGCTCTACTTAGAAGATATTTCAATGTATCAGTTTCTATAATTAGTTTTTTTATTTCGATTTTCTTATTTCCCGTTGGCGTTTAGGTTACACAAGAGCGCCCTACTGTGCCTTCGCTATCGTTTAGTACATATAAGTTTACACTGCTAAATAATAACGATAATAATAATGATAATAATCATTATAATAATAATAATAATGGGATGTAGCAGTGGAAAGTCCACGAGATGGCTCTTCTTGTCCACTGTTTATATTCCCTTGAAAGAAAAAAACCATCCCATGAGGACTATCGCATATTCGCATATTCTTTGGCGTGACAGCAAATCGACAAGCTAAAAAGGTGTATCAAATATTCTTTTAAAAACAAAGGAAGCTTGAGAGACATGTGCATTTGACATTTTGAATTATCTGTTTCAATCCTAGGTGCTCCTCCAAGCAACCTCCCAGAAGAAGGTAAGCGGCAATTTTTTTTTAGCATCAGATGAGGTTTAGAGAGGGATGTCCTCAATTTATGTGGAACTGTAATATCAAATAGTTGCCTTATCCGAGAGAGTGATGACTTTTTGACCCTTTAAAGACCAAATGACCACCGATCAATAAATTGCATAATTCAGAATTTACAATTTACTTAAATCCCTTAACGTAGGTGAAACGGTCTCGTATAAGGCAACTCAGTTGCCTTATCCGAGAAAATGATGACTTTTTGGCCTTTTAAAGACCACATGACAACCGATCAATAAATTGCATAATTCAAAATTTACAATTCACATATATCCCTCACAGGGACCAAATCTTTTGGTGTTCAACAAACTGGACAGACGGGAAAGTATAGTGGGAGTATTACCTGCGGTGTCGGTAAGAGGTCTCGTATCGTCGGTGGGGAGCAAGCGAGGCCCTCTGAGCTTCCCTGGCAGGTTGGCTTTAGATATGACGGTCGTTACAGCAGAACGAACATTTTCTGCGGTGGAACTCTCATCGATGAGAATTGGGTGGTGACAGCTGCCCACTGCTTTGAAAATCCAAGCTATGATATGACGCTTAAGGTCATCCTTGCAGAATTTGATACAAAAAACGAAGATGGAAATGAAGTGATAATCCCCGCAAAGAAGGTAGTGAGAACTTTGGCATTATTAACTTGATATTTATACGAGGATGATAGCATTGATGATGTAAGTGCTGGGACATTATCTTCGAGGTCGAAAAATTTGGGTTCGCTCGTAAAGTTGAATATTTTTATAGAAACTGCACGGTATAAATTTAAATTTAATAAAGTAAACGCCTAATAAATTTCTAGGTCGTGAAAAATGCTATCATCAGACTATCTGGGAAATAGTAGGGGATGCCGATAAAATACAGTTAAAAAATGATTATCAAGAGGTGTCCATAATTTATCTTTTCAGGTCATCAATCATTCTAGATACAACAAACGGACAAAGGATAACGACATAACTCTGGTAGAGTTGAGCTCAAAAGCACCATTCAGCGACAACATAAAGCCAATCTGTATGCCTACAAGTCGCACCGATTTTCCAACTGGAACCATGTGCACCGTGAGTGGCTTTGGCACAATTCGGTCCAACGGACCACAATCCAGGTATCTGTTGAAAGCAAATGTCCCACTTGTCGACCACCAAGAGTGCAAACGAAGCTACCGGTCACTTACGGAAAACATGGTCTGCGCTGGATACAAAGAGGGGAGAATCGACTCCTGTCAGGGGGATAGCGGAGGCCCTTTAGTGTGCCCCCAAAATGGAAAATATTACCTGACAGGGGTTGTAAGCTTTGGCATCGGATGCGCCAGACCAGGGTATCCAGGCGTGTACACAAAATTTAAAAACTACCTAGACTGGATCGAAACAACAAAGAATAGCAATTAAACAGACTGGATACCTAATGCTATGAGACACAATTTGAAATAAATTTATGATCGCTTTAACTAAAAAAAAAAACGCCTTCAGTTTAAGATCATGAACATGTAATCAGGTGAAGTTTCGTTAAACGTACATAAATTAAACTATGCAAAAGCCTTTAGGCCCTTTCTCCCATATGAATTATATGCACAACCCAGATATGCTGCCTTGCCTGAGCTATGTTTACTGGGCAAAATTATAACCAATCAACAATTGGAGTAAATGGCTATGGGCAAAATCCCATAGCAGCATTTATTTAAAAATACTGTTCAATCAAATCCTTGATAAAAAGTTTGGCCCAGTAAAGGTGAGGGCACTGAAAACGCCAAAAATACAATCTAATGATCTGAAAAATGGGAGTGGCTGGGAGAAGGGTAGGAGGAGGGATGAAAAAACACGTCTTTAACCACCGTCAAGATGAAACGAAGTAAGGCTCACATGGGAGCCTGGTCACTTGGCAAGCACAAGTATCCTAAAGGGTATTGGTTATAATCCAAATAAATACCACCCCAAGTCCCAGGCCCCCCAAAGAAATAAAAAGTACACAATGGGAAGAAGAAGCATAAAAATGCTATTTGTAAGCAAATATTTCCTTTGATATCATGGAAGTTGACAGTCATTTTGGACTACTTCTCTGAGATTACAGATGTTTTAAAACATCATAATACATCGTCTTTCAACCTTTGAACCTCTAGGAGTGATTTGCACCTAATTTCTCTTTTCAGTATCACCTCTTAATCAAACATTAAGATCACAACAATTAAGGAATTAATCCCCAACGAAGACACTCTTGATTCTTAAACGCATTCACTTGTCAGTCCATGCCAAACATATAAAGAGACTATGCATACTGATGTATGATGTAAAGAGTTAAGTCCTCTTGGTAGCTTGATAATGCAATCCTACTGGCCCCTCCAGAATTCCCCGTTTGCCTCGCAAGCCTTTGAACATTTGAAAAATTACTATAATTATTTAGTAGCTGTTCACCTTGTTTGATAGTTCTGAAGTTAATTTTTTTTCTTCACACCTTAGTTGTTAAACATTTACCAAACTTCTTCGCCATTTTGATCTAAAGTTCAAACGGCTTAAAAGATAATGATAAAAAACCTAAAGTAGGGCTGGTTGGCTTGTACTATTTAGTGATTCTACTCCTTGTTCGCCACAAATCGTGATCAGGTCACTAAGTCCAGTTAGAGGTCACTGTGTCCAGCGTTGATTTGCATGTTTACTCGTAGGTCTTTGATGGAGAGCATATCAAATTAGTTTGATAAACATCAGTCACTCCAAGAAAGAGACAGAGCTCGCCAAATAACTGAATTTCGCTAAACCAATCTCTTTCTCTCTATAATCTCTTTCTCTCTATAATGACCAACCAGGCACTTTTAAATGCGCTCGTGCACGATGCAAAATGTCTGCTTTCATTCACAACACTGATAAAATATCGGGACCTAAACGATCCATTATGATCACCGATCACTTAACGTGCACCTCCGCCAATGTAATCTATTGCATAACTTGCACTTATTGCAATAAGATACACGAAACAGGCCGAAGACTAGGTGACCGATTCCGAGAACACCTTCGAGACGTGGAAAGGAATAACAAGGATACATCGAAACCAGTCGCTAGACATTTTAATTTACCTAATCATTCTAAGCAACATATGGCAATCTGCGGTCTTTCCTTACACTTAGGTAGCACGGAAAGCCGTAAAACTCTTGAACAAAAGCTCATCTTTCAAACCGGCAGTCTAAATCCCACAGGGATCAACGAACGCTTTTCATTCCACTAGTTTATTCGTGTTTTTCTCGTTGCCATGTTCCCACCAATAATGTAGCTCCATTTTCTGCCATTAACAACCCACAATTCCTCTATTCGCTCCGACGAAGGGTTACCGCTCGAAACGTCAGCTTTTGTAATCGTTACGGTGGCCAATTTACCATTTCAACTTTGTTGATATATCGAAATTCGTTCTCTCTATAGTTGAAGATGTGAAAAGCGCCGTATAATCCTATCGATGGAAGTCTGTTGTATTCTACTTTTCGTCTCCTGTTCATTGTTCAACACAAGTATGAACAATGATTTCAAAATGTGATCGAGTTTATGAATTTTCGTTGAAAGCGCCCCTTGCCTATAATAGACTCTAACGCACTGTTGTGACCGATTTAACGGCGATTGATCGCAAGCACTAAGCTGGCTTTGGTTTAACCCAACCAAATCAAAGACTTCGTGTGCGGCATGAACAACTTCGATTTCATTTTACGTGAACTGAGAGTCTCCAACCTTTTTTTAGCTTCCAAACTACAATCTTTGCTTTAAATTATTGACGATTTCAGTTTGAAGAAAACCGAAAATTCTCGAGGCAAAATGTTTAGCCATTATTTATTGTACAAATGGCGACTTACAGATATCGAGATTAAACAAAACAAATTGAAAGAAAATGAAAATGCAAGTTCAAATCACTGTGGTCAATAGCTTTGCTAGCGTCATTAACATGAAAGCGTCAGAGAGCAGTAAAACAGTTACGAAATTTAAATATCAAACTGACATAAAACCGTGATCATTCGCTAGAATCCCTTTGCTGAAGATCACTTATCAACAGTAGTTTTGCTATAAGAGTAGCTGACAAATGTGGATGTCAAACGCCACTTTCTCGAGAATCGGCTTTCTGTGCTTGAGGAAGAATCGGTTGCACTATGTCCATCGTCAAGCGAATTTATGATCAATTGTGGGGACCTGTATGTTTAAAGCTCCAATTGTTAAGCCTTTTCCATCAAGCCACGTATACATCAATTGAATTTGCACCACTACGGTTGTTAATTGTTTCTTGTTGAAATTAAGAGACAACATTATGTGACTGTGTACATTGCAAGGGTGTTTGATGTGACACCTATTGCAGCCTAAAACACCCACAATGATTCCCGATTTCTATTGCAGTGAACCGTTTATATAATAACAAATCCCAAAAATCCAGTATTCTGCTCCAAGAGTAACACTGAAAACGTGTCTATCTTTTAAGATCAAAACTGGCTCAAGAAATCAAAATTTTGCATTCAAAACACACCTCAGGGCCAGATCTTGCTGTTTGGCTGGAAAATGCATTCTCAATTTATCCACTAGCCCTTGTTCCTCCGTTTGACGAAAGCTAGTGTAGCAAACACAACCTTTTCCTCGTTTATGACCGAGAAGAATTCTGGGAAATTCCACCACAACTCGAGAAAGGAATACCTCACATTTCCATTTTGACAAATTATTCGCAGTGTCGGGCCACCCAGTCCTACCAGCAAAGTATCACATCCATCGAGACTTTTGCCACTCAAAACTGGCCCAAAAAGCCTTGGTAGGTCCTAGTAGCCATCCCTGCAGGTGCAAAAAGCAGGTCACAGGTCACAGGTTACAGGTTACAGGTTACAATTGACAGGTCACAATTAAAGAGTTATACAACGGATAGAGTAAAGGCGTTGCATTTATAGTGTTCCATCGCATGATATTCAATATCGCAGGAACAACTAAACACAACCACAACTAGTCCCTCATCGGCAGGTTATGATTTAATTACAGTCGATACTCAGTAAAGAAGGATGTTAGGATGATGGGTCAGGAAATATATGGCTATACAACCAGCTGAAAAGACCAAAAAAAGCGAGAAAAAACGTCAATTTCTTACCTCAAAATCCTCTCCTTCCTCCGCCATGATTCTCACGCGCACGAGGGAATTCCCTGTTCCAGGCTTCTCTCACAGACTCGTTCCAAGCCCTTATAGCTCCAAGAAAATTTTATTTCTGTCTGCACATTAAAAAGAAGTCTTCAAGCTTATAAACAGAGGAAACAACACTAGTACACCCAACAGACTGTTGAACTAGTGACATTTTATTGTTCTATTCTTACACGAAAACCGAACGCATGTATATTATACGTTCATTTCTGACGACCGGATATGGAACACTATAATGCAACGCCTTTACTCTATCAGGTGTATAACTCCGTTTAATTGTGACCTGTTAATTGTGACCTGTGACCTGCTTTTTGTACCTGCCGGTAGCCATCCACAGATGGGCCAGAGAGACGAATTCACTTGTGAACTCGCCAAACTTGCATGGAAGCATTTTGGTGCTCCAGTCTACATGAAACCACCTCTCACCTCTGTTTTTCTTTCAGAGGCTTGCCTCTACCCACATTCCAGCTTAATGATGCTGTCCTTAAGGCTCCTGTAGAGGGAAAATTGCTCGAAAAACACTTATAAACGATTTGAACGCATCCAAACACGAGCGGTTGATCTAGCTCACGTGACCCCAAAGTCTGAGCCCATGGTGTCACAAAACCGCAAATATTGTAAAGGATACTTCATATAACTACAAACAAAGTGAGGTTAAGTTTTGTATGGCCAAATTATAAGGTTTTGTCTGCTGGGAAAGGGTTAAAAGAAAAAAGCTCGAATATTATCCGCCTGCGGTGTCGTTAAGTTTTCGGTGGCACAGTTTGTTAGAGCTCAGGTTTTTCATACATAATCAGTCATTTTGAATTGACTAGTAGATACCTCTGTTAAACGTTTTGCTGAGTCATACGTTCCAATGTTTTCGAAAACAAGAGTCGGGCGTTACCACTTATGTCCCAGGTCTTCCTTATGACTTGTTCGACCGCGACTGTGTAACTGAGCACAGAAAGCTGAGAAAGCTTCATGGTTCCCAGCCCCTCTCGTGGTATGAGTCTCTCGCTGTGGATGCACAGAAGTAGGCGGATTATCTTGCAATAAATGACAAGATCGAACATGATGGCGACACTTTGGTAGAGAGAGACGAGGGTGAGAACATAGCCTGGTTTGTGCCACCTCGACCAGATGCTACATCATTTTATAGTCTAACATATGATTCATCATATGCTCTCAAATTACATTTTATTTTTATTCGTGACTCGTCTTCTTATTAGATAGATATTCCTAGTTTTTCCTGATAGTTATGTTAGAACTCAACACGCATTGCTTGTTAGAATTTTTAAATAGAGGGCCACAAGTTTAAAAGTTACTTCAACTATTCCGTGCCACCCTCTCTAAATAAAGTGTATTATTATTATCATCATCATCATCATCACCATTATTATTATTATCATTATTATCATTATTATCGTTATTATCATCATTATTATTATCATGCCAAGGGTCCTTGAAGCCAAATTGTTTCACGTGTAGCAAGGTAGTGCAGAACTAGTGGGACGAGTCAA